CTCTTGCTGTCGTGTCAGGCGGTGTGCGCACTACGATTGCGATGCATTGTGGACTCAAAATTTTCAAGATGGCGGCGAAGGTCGAGACATTTCGCAGGTTATATGCTTTATTTTTCAATAGATTACAGTTCTTTCCTTAGATCGTTTTTCTCGATTTCATAAGCTAATATTTGTTTAGATTTTTTCTGTGAAGAAAAACAAATCAATACTCTTCATTTCAATCTAAAACGTGGAGCCCGAAGTTTCCTCCTGTAAGAGCATGAAATTTGAACCCGGTTTTTAAGAAGCTATAATTTCCATTATATTGCCCGTCGAAAGTAGAAGATAGTTGTAAGTGTTTCTACAAACCTTGTTGTACGCTAATTTTTTATCGCTCCCCAACGGGCCCCACGTTTTGTGATACTTTTTCCGAATTGAAACCGGCATGTTTTCATGGGAAAATGTAGCCTCGCGAGGACCAATGTGACGTGTTACTGGAAGTGTTACTGTTGTAATCACAAGCTGATCACAAAATAGCGGGGCAGCGGCGACTGGTTCCTCCAAACAATAGCATTAGGTGAACATAAAATGTTCGAAATTGGTATATAAATAGGCTGATGAGCACTCTGATGTAGGAATGTCTGTTTTTGTAATAGGACTAAAAAAAGCATTATAAAATTGTAGTCATACATTTGATTCCCTTTATGCAGGTATAAAATCAGTAGGATAAGAATTACAGGTATTAAATTAAATGATAAGTTTGATTATACAGTTAAGCCCTGTGCATTTTGAAACCAGCCATCCTTTATGAAAAGTGGTTTTTGAGAGAATTGCAAGAATAGTGCAGTGTAGAAGAAGAGTTTCATAACATCCACCAAGCTTGCACTTTACTTTTATTCAGAGAAATATGCACATCACTCTTGAGAAAAGAAAACCATAATCTACTTCCAGGTTTGTTGTGTGTTGTTGTGTGGATGTTATGACTTTGTCAGTTCCTTGCCTAGTCCCTGTTTTATTCAGTGGTGATTAGCCTCTGTAGCAGGCCTTTAAAAGGAAAGGGAGAGGGGTTTTGGGCACAAGAGAAATGCGAAGACTGCACGAGGAAGGAGGGAGTGATTTCAACATTCACCTGGTTGATGTTTATAATGTTTATAATGTTTATAGTCTCCTGTATGGCAGGCATTTCCCTCCCTCCTTCCCTCACATTTCTCTTGCACCAAGACCCACTTTCCCTTTTCTTTGAAATGCCTGCCACACAGGCTAAGTGATGTCATTCAATCTGTTTACCCGTTTACACTGTTTAATATATATCAAGCAATAATATTATTTGCATATTTTGGTGGCTTTAGTTAAAATATAAATTGCTTGATCATTGAATGTACTTTTGATATTGGAAAACCAAGGCTGAAAAGATGTTGACAGGGAAAGGAAATAGAAAAAGTGGAACAATGGGGCAGTAAAGTTGTGAGACTAAGAACCTGAATTAACTAAGTAAGCCTAAACAGATTCTTATTTAAATAGTAGTTAGCACTAGTTTAGGCTATTTAGGTTTTTAAATGGATTCATATTTTCTGAAGAAAAAATGTAGCTAAGAGTATTTGTGTTTCACCTTATTCCTCATATAAAGTCTGCATACCAAATTAGAAGTTATGTGAGAATGGACATAAAAAGAGGAATGTATTTAAATTTAAACATTGGCATTTACGTTGCGGTTCGAGTGATAAGACAGCTTTGTATCCAAAGAAGATTCTAAATGTTGATTTATCTCTGCTTAAGTGTACAGAAAATTTTCATAGATTTCAAAAATAAGAACCTGTTTCAAATTCTAGGCGAAACAGGTTTTTATATAGAGGGGGCTCATCCGGCATATTTAAGCGTAACAGGTTCTTAAAATTCAGGTTCTAATTAAGTCAGGGGGTTTTACTGTACTACTAGGATCCACCTCTGCAATAACTGGTAACCCAAAAGCCCTCTTTACGGACAACCGCCTCATACAGACACCTGATCAAGGCTGTGCTCTAGCAGAGCCCTGTGGCCCCTGGCACCTAACTTTTGCTTTTGTGACTAGAAAATCTCAGACTTTTCATACAAATCATATGCTGGGCAGCCTAGATTTTACAGGTTCAGAGAACCTTAGAGCACAGCCTTGCTCATCATTACAGACAGCTTGCTTTGTTCCCTGGAAAAAAGCCTTAAATTTTCTCTAAATTAAGATGGACAATTTCTACGGTCCCCTCAGTGTCTGCATAACAGAGTTGACTGTGAGTATGATGAGACTTATGACACCATATTTAAATTATAAAATTAGGGTGAGGAGAAAGGAAAGGGGTCTCAAGCTATGTTGCCCCAGCCCTGATTACAGGAGATTTGTAAACATGTATGAATTTCACATTTTGAAGAGTTTTTATAATCCAAAAAATATGTGATAACATGTGTTTGTACATACTGACACAATCATTAAACAAATAGTGGCTGAAGCTTTTAAAATCTATTGACTGCATCAGGCTTTGTAATCACAAATATGCCATTTTCAGTTTCAATCCAGTTGTAAGACATTCTATGAGTCATACCGATAGAAAATATATGGGCAAATAAAGATGCTCAATATTATATTATTTATAAAGAGGACACAAGTTCAGTGTACACAAATGCTCTCTACTTTATTTACTTGTCTTCATGTGATGATAAATACAGATGTTAAGCAAAACGAAATGCAGACTTCCTGCCAAAAGTGAAACAAGTCCTTGAAAAGATGACCCCCTCAACTTCGATTCTCTTATTACAGCTAGCAAGTGAACATCTTGCAATGCTGAATGACAAAACAAAATAAGCTCACTGTGTTTAAATACCGCGGCCGGGTATTCTGAAGAAGCTCCTAGTATTTTATGAGTATATCACAGCTATGCATATCAGTACCTCTTAGCACTAGTTGCACTGATTTCACGGTGAATTCAAAATTTTCGGCGAACCGCGGGTCTTACCTCCACTGCTTTTCATGATTGAAGCATTGAACAAAGCGTTTCTGTGCCGACTTTTGTCGGTCAGTTGCAAAAAGGATGCAAGTGATTACGAACAAAATACACCAGAATACACTTATCAACGGATTGACCCTGTTTTTTCCCTGAGAATTGGACAGACTTTCTTTTTCAAGAGCTTCCGGAAGAGATTCATAGCAAAATCGTATATATCTACAGCGTAATTAACGAATATTCACTCCGCAGTCGAGATGTTCACTCCACGCCATCTTGACACAAATGATCAGATTTTGAATACCGCCCATGATGCTTAGCGATCGTAGTGCGCACACCGCCTGCTGTCGTGTAGTTCTTACAGCAGGATCCTTAAGGTAAAAGCAAAATACTCAAAGGTGCCGATATCTTTTTTTTGTTTATTTTTTATTGGAAAAACGTTGTTGGGCCTACAAGGAAATGCTCCTTCCAAGACCTGATGCAATTAGCTCAGCCTAGCTACTGCTTAAATAAGGAAAAATTGTAACCGAAGGATGATTCTGTTTCTCCTGTTCGAATTTTTGACTTCAGGTTCTCCTCTGTCGACAATCAGTTTAAAAAAAAAAATGAATAGTGAAAAAACCCTTTTTTAAAATGCCAGACATTCAGAGTCTTCCCATCAGTTCATGTTAGAAAAAATACGAAGTACTAGAGAATGACTATATATTTACTCTTGTTTACACAAAATTATGGTACTATTTTAATCGATATATCTATGGGGCAATTTCCAACCCAACATGGACAAAAGAGCCGAATCCCTGCTACGAAAGCCACTATTTACGCTTAAGTACATATGATCGCGTGCATTGTTTAATTTTGGATCGCCGTTATGGTGCTGATTTGCTAAATAAGCGATAAAAAGACTAAATTGCAATCGAAAGCTGTGTTTTGAAATACACCTGCTCTATAAGCAGCGAATGGAACAAGGACGACAGTCTGGCCTTAAAGATGTATTTTTACCTCTACTTTGCGTCAGTACTTTCTATTCGTAAGGTGAGTTATCAGAGGCTTTTTTTTTCAAAAATAAGGGAAACATAAATTATCATATTTAAATCGAAATCTTTTAAGCAGAGATTAGCCGCATGTTACGAAACTTGAGACCATGCTAGCTAAGGCGGAAAAAAAATTATAATAAGAGCTCTTACTATTAATTTTACTGTTTGTTCTTTCCATATTTGAGATAACCAAACCACACTGACTTTCAGAGAATAATAACTAGGTATCGAACTTATTATTTTATAGAATTCAGGCTCGGCTTTTTCTTTCTTTCTGTTGAGTTTCGTGGTAAACTAAATATCGTGGTTAAACAACCTCAGCTCAAAACTGAAAGGGTGTTTTCATTTGTCAAACGCTTGTATAACTTACATAGGATGAATTATACCTGGTTGCTTACTTTTGATGAAGTTTGGTTTCTAAATAGACAGCTGGTTATCTTTATTTCATGCCAGGTGAGATTCTTAAATCAAGCATTGTTTAGTTGGGTTTCGTTTACGTGTGGATCGCCTACTTAGTAACAACTAAGTTCACAAACACTATAAACAAAAGACTTTAGTTGTTGTTGTTTTTCTCTTTGCTGTTCTATCTAGCTTGAAAATGGTTTAATGCTATAACATAACGTTTGGTATCTCAAAGCGACAGTTATTAAATTAATGAATATCAATGATTGGAAAACATTAGAGTTTTCAAAAATACTACAAGATTAGCGCTATAACTACCTTTATCCTGCCCCAAAAGGTTTATGTTATGTAGAACACAACTCGGAGATGGTTATGAGGGAAATCAGCATCAATTACGGGAAATCCTTATTTTCTTCATTCAAGAGAAATACGAGAGAGCGCGTGCTTCAAAATGGTTAACAGTTGTCCCGCGTGTGGGAAATATTGCCGCCTTTCCTTGTGGGGGGCTATTTTCCCTGCGCTATTTTACTCGTTTTTGCTACGGAAACTATGACACTACTCGAATTCTACTTCGTGAAATAGTGGCTTAAGTCATCTTTTCCTTTATGACCTTTTCTTTTTTGCCTACAAGGCCTCTAGTTACAGGTTCAGTCTCCAGAGTTCTACCCAATGGCAGTTTATCGGAAGAAAAGTCCAGTTGTGCTTAACTATGGACATCCCAGAGTCTACCCCCATAAAATGTAAGATTAAACTCCCATTTAACGGCACTGCTATAATGCGAATCACAGAAGTCCAGTTCGTTGCCGTCAGCAAACACCTTACCGCCAGCATCAACACAACCACACTTATATCTTCCGCAAATGATGATATAAATGATATTTGTTGGATTGACCTTGGAAATATCACGCGGGGCTCATCTGAAAACGGCACTCAGATTAAGATCGAATTCGAGGTTCAGGTAATGAATCACGCGCATATCGTTAACAGAGACGTGCAGTGGGTAAGCGTCGGAGTTCAGTACATAAACCAATCCGTCTGGGCATCACAGCTTGGGATTAAAATCATTTATCCAGGAAGAGTCAAGAAACCAGATTTAAAGTTCTCTTTCTGGGCTGATATTGGAGGTTTTAGCATTATAGCAAGGTATGTCTGTCTTAAGCACCACCTTTTTTCCGAAAAAAAAAAAATAATATATATATATATATAAAGAATCACAACGAGAGAGTTTTCTCAGCCTCAATACTTCTAGTCAATAGTCACAAGTTAAACTCTCCCTACACACCCCCGCTTAAGCTTGCAAAAAAACTGTTCCGCCATCCCTGTACCTTATCTCTTGTATACGAAATCTTAACACACGGTTTAATTATTTTATATCTTTCCAAATAGGGATGAGGCTATCTATCGACTGATATTGTCCCATTCCGATTTGACCACTGATGAAGTGGTGAGTGGGATAATTGAATGGCCTTTGCCTCCTGTTCTTCTACTAAAAACATGGCAGAAAGTTGGTTCGTCAATTAATATGGAAGTCATGAACGATACAGAAACTGTTGTCATGAAGGTGAGGATGATTGGCCTAGGCAATAATGGCTCTTATCTAATCCGAATCAATCCTCCCCTCTCCCCTTACAAGTCTGCCTACTTGTCTGTATTGCTTGTACCACTTATTTTAGCTTCTACATTTTTTGTTTTTTTCCATGCCGCCCACAGGCGTTTTTTTCTTTTTCTTTTTTTTTTCGAAACGGGACCTAAAGGTACGTGGAGGAGGGGCAGGCAAGGGGAAGGGGCGAGGAGAAAAAGGAGAAAAAAAACTAACCCTAGCCTTCCCCCTTCCCTATTTTGACGCGTCAACCTCTCGGTCAATCGAAAGTCCAAATTTATCGCACAGCAGGGAGGAAGGAGCATATTCAGCTTTGGAAATTGACCTAATAGTCAATTTTAATCAATAATAGCCAAAAGCATACATTTGTAGTCTCGGGCACAAAGCCTTTATCTTTCATTTCCTGTGTCAAAATATTTAATGAATTTATGGTCAGTAAGGGTCTCTAGTCTCCATTTTATTTGAAACTTATTGCTTTTCAGTTTGGAGAACTCAAGTTTGCAGATACAATCGACCTCAAAGTCACCTTTTATCTCGACTTACACAAGATGAGAGCTGACGGAAAACTCCATAACTTGACAATACACTTAAATATCAAGTATAACGGGACACCAGACGCTTGCAGCTCTTTATCTGCTTCTCGCGAGTTTATTTATGACCAACTGGTAGCTGCTTCTATCAAGTATTACGTCCCACGTAAGTTTAAACATTTACCATTGGAAGTTACGAGGTGCATGCGCATTCCCGAGAAGTGTCGCAGAACAGTGTTTTGGGAATGGGGACTCCAGGAAAATTCGCTTTGGATATTATCCAAGCTCGAATATATTTCAGACCCAGATTTCGTTTCTCCTTGTCGTATTTTAAACCTTAACAAAAGCATAAACCCTAGGACAAAAGGGCTTAAAAAAAACATATTCATTGGAGTCAAACAGACCTCTATACACTGTAGCTACTATGAGGGAGTTCCCCTTTTGATATTGGCTTGTCTTCATTTACTTATTATATCTCATTTATTCCATTCCATATTACATTTTATGCTCCATTTTTAATTGTTTTGCACTTTTAAGCGCCTTGAACAATTTAAGTAACTTCCCTTCATTTGCAGTATCATACCAAGTGAAAACATCTGTTTGAAGTTTATGTTATGGTTTAATTTTACCCTTGCTTTGAATTTTTATTTTCCTTTGTTTTTCGGTATGGTAATGCATGATGATGAGTTTGAAATAAAGGAATATAAAATTTAAGCCAATGATAAAATTGAACCACATATAAAATTGTATCAAACAGAAATATGGCAGCAGCGATGAAAAGAACATTGAAATTTTAAAGTGAAAAATGAATAAATAAATAAATAAATAATCAAACGTCAGATCGAGTGGCTAAAAAAGGTACGAAAGAAAATCGTCCAAGATAGTTGTATCACTATTTGAGTTAAGAATGCTTGTGAAGAAAATAACATTCGACTTGAAAAGCACAATTGAAATTTTGTTACTCAAAACTGGGAATTGAAAACATTAGTGCTGATTCTGGGATAAACGTCAAGCAATCTTGTTATTAATGGCATGGGTTCTTACCATTTAATTTACACAAGCCACAAGGATGCAAATCTTGTGCATAAACATAAAACTATAAAATTTAACGTGGTAGAAGAACGATGCTCTCCGACGTATATCTAAATCAGCTGTGCAGACTAAGAAGAATATAAAGATATGATTCCCACATCAAACCACAGCCGCAGTTTTCTATAGCTTCCTAAACGGAATGATCATGCGAACCATCTGATTTTCCAACCAGAATTTTCGACTTTTCCGTCTTTCTCCTTCTACCCTACCTTCCTTTAAGAAAAAAATGTTTACTTTAGGCTACTTGGGATTCTCTTTCTTGTTTTGTTTTTGTTTTTGTTTGTTTGTTTGTTTTTTTCTGTAGGGGGATCATGTGACGAGCCCCTTGGAATGAAGGATGCTAGCATCACTAATGCCCAGATCACCGCCTCGTCCCATTCCGTAGACGGGGAACCTTTTGAAGCCAGGCTGGACGGTGACAATGCTTGGATACCGTGGATGATGCTGTCGTAAGTTTCCAGACATACATATTTGTGTCCTAATCTTGCGTTTGCAGAGTTTGCTCAAGGACAGTTGTGTCATCGTGTCCGAAAAGAATATCTCCAAAGCATAATATGCTAGTAATAGTTGACACTACCGTTGCCCCCGTTCTGTGTGTTGTCGGTCAATAGTATTCTTGGTCGTTGCGTAGCCCTTTGAAATACACTATACTGATTCGTAATGAACATGCACTGATTCAGTTCGATTTATTCAGCTTTGATTAGAATGTTGGTTTATCTCTGTCGACACGAAGAGAGGGAAATAAGAAGAAGAGTCGAAGTATGACTGTACAATTAGTGTCACAGTGTTTTGCGTAATCCTAACCATCTCTTACTTGCGGGCGTGAACAATAGAAATGTCATCATTATCCAGCGATTCTATGAGGCCCCTGATCAAGTAAATCGAGATTTTTTCTGTATACTGACCATCTATTTCAGCTGTACGTGTTTTTCTACATACACGCTTGAGCTACTAGGATGCCTGCAGGGGCAAAAACGTTACCAAAAAAAATGAGCTTGCCCTCTCTTTTTTCCAGAATCCTGATTGTTTGACTGTTTCCTGTTACTTATATACCTTCCTCGTTTGAGAGGTTCTTTTCATGTTTCATTTAATTTGGTAGCAGATCCCACCGTTTGAATTTTGATGTATTTTTTGACAGCTATCTTAACGCGCCTCTTAGAATTTGTTGTATGAAAATAAGCTAAATGAAATCTTTAAGACAAAAAAATAAAGAGAGTTGAAATATGAAGATCATCTCAAAACTTTAAAACATAAGAGAGCTAAGCAATGCAGTTGTTGGTAGCCATGAAAATCTAATTTGTCAGTTATTTTTTAACTTATTTGCGCGTCCTTTCTTATGTGAAATTTCCTTGTCTATTAATTACAGGAAAGAGAAAAACCAATATTTGGAAGTTAATTTCAATGACAGGGTCATAATTCGTCGGCTCAGCACGCAAGGCCGTGTCAAGAGCTTGGCAATATTTTACAGCGACGATGGCGTTATTTTTGAACATTACAAGCAAGGAAGCGAAGGCGAGGTAAAAGATCTTCTTCTCGGAGGGACTCGGGAAATTCCCTTCGGCCATGCCCCATATCATTATTTTTTTTAACACGGGTATTTGTTTTGTATTTCAAGGATTTAAAGGCCAATAATAATGAAAACTATGGAACCGTGATCCTTCTTCCCGTACCTGTTGAGGCTGTATTTGTCCGAATTAATCCAACTGCTTGGCAAACCTCAGGCATCAGCCTAAAAGTTGAGTTTTATGGATGCAAACTCAGTCAGCCTGTTATTCCAGGTAATTGTTACCTATTTTCAATGAGTAATTTACCAAATTAACATAATTCTGCAAAATCGTAAGGTTTGAGTGATGTCCGAAGATCGAGCTACAGTAATATTTGTACCACACTTGTAACATGATGAATTTCATCTTTGTAATTCATAGTAACGCCCTCTATAATGCCGATTCTCTCGATAAACTGTAATAATATCACGGCCCAGAAGCAAAAGCCTAATGTTTGAGGGTTCTAAAATCAGAATTAACCCCATTAAGACTGGTTTTTTTCGCTTCCTACGACGCATCATACGGCCACCAAAATACACAGAATAATGTACTCATCACTTTTAACATCTAAGCAAAATTTGATTGACACATTGACCTAATTTGAAGTCTTTATGACGTCATATTGTGGAATTCACTGGCAAAATCTTAATTTCCCTCAAGGTGGCGATAACGCCAAATAAACTAAAAGTTATAAAGGTGTCTGATCAGAAATTAGCTAACACATGAATGATCTTTAATAAAAGCAGTTATATCATGATGGCGTCATTTGTTACGAAAATACGGAACTGGAAGTATCCGCTATCTTGGATCCGCCATTTTGAATTACTTAAATGTATTCCGATTTACTAAAAAACCCCGTAAAAATCGATGTAATCGTAATAGAAAAGTTGATCTGTGTATAAAAGGATGCTTAGGAAGCAAAGAATCTGCAAGTATAATTGAAATTCCGAGATATATAAACACTGTTTAAAACTTAACCCGGCGTCTGCCATGTAGTCATTTTGCGGTCTTGTTTTTTTTGTTGTTGTTGCTTTTTATTTTTTTTAATCCAATTTGTCACTAAAAAGCCTGTATTACATGAGCAGTTATCAAAAATTTGATAAAATATTGCGCAATCAAGTGTAATATAATAATTCAATAACTTAAAATAGAAAACAAACGTTTTTATAGGAAAGATGCAAATTTTAAAAAAAACATGGCTGTCAAAACTAGGTTGCCATTTAAATGTCAATGTTGATGTATACGTCACGACGACTTTAGGTCAAAAGCCCCGCCCCCCAGTCTGAATAGGGTTAAGGTCACTTGAAATTAGAATTTACAAAGGAACTGACAGTTTCCCTAACATCCGACAGCGCGCACTCTCTCAAATCTTAAGGTAGCTAATGGGATTACAAATAAACTGTCATGTAACAGTATTACGGTGTTCACGTACCTCTCTCTTAAAGTCATTTTATCGCACAACTAATTCGGAACACCTCGCTGGAAAAGCTTCATTTTGTTTCTCAACCTAATTTTCGTCAGGTCAAATTGGGTCGTCTTAAAAAATAAACAGTCTTTTTTGCAGAAGATGGGAATAGTTGCTCTTCGCCTAGGCCTATCTGTTTGAAGCCCGCGGTTTGGCTATTATACTGCGTTAAGAACATATGAGTTGTCATTGTAACTAACCATATGAATTTACGCTTTTAATCTTCTTTCGAGGAGCTCGTTCTTATAGAATTTATTTTCTCGACGTTGATTAAGAATGTGTGAAATTTTGAAAGCGAATACTTACAATGGGCTGAGGTCCATCGTGTCAAATTTTGTTAACATACATGAAATAACTGGCTGTTTTCTTGCGCAGGTAATTTAACGTTCTCCAGTCGTGGATACTACTTGGACGAAACTAAAGACATCATGTATATTTGTAGCGTGCCGACAAAAAAGTAAGTGAAAGAAAAGAGTAAAACAGACCAGTAACAAATTTGGCTTTAATCCAAAAAGGAACCGTGAAAGTTGAAGAGGGAGAAAGAGACTATGCAATGTATAAACTGAGACTAGCCATCACAACGAGATATTGACTGTTGCTGCCGTCGTCCTGCAAAGGGTTCGGCGTGGCTCGGATTGCCACTTAAAATGGCGGTCCTGTCTTAAGTAGAACATGTAAAGACAGTGCTCCCAGTTAGTACTTTCGTGCTAAATGCATTGACACTCAAACAAAGTGCTTTTTTTCACTAAGTAAACAGAGTTCATACAAAACAAATAAACTGTATATAACTTTACCCAATTTCAGTAAAAAAGCCCTTTTTTGGTCTTGATCTGCTTGTAGGTTGTAAAGTATTGGTATAATTTTGTTCCAACTAAAAATCATTTTTACTCAGTCAATTTTTACGGACTTTGCCCAAACAAGGGAACGCTACCGGCTGTCCATCTAAAGGGAAACGGAGTTTAAACGCCCTTTAGTCTAGCCGTTTACTACCCTTTTAACGAAAGGCGATAGGTAAGCTTTCTCTTCCCTTCAAATAGGTAAAAACAAGGCCTGGCTAGTTCAAACGCCGCTTTTCACATGTTGCGAAATTACATCAGATTCGATACATATGAAATGCGATTTTTGAACCTGGCCTAAGATCATGGCATCGGTGCTACCTTATGGGAGCTTAGAGTCTGGTGGTCAGTGATCTAAAGCTCTGGGACGGGAGCTGGCTTAAGGTATGGTGACGTCACCATACAAGCTATTCCTGGTTTAACAGCGACTGAGTAAAGAGAGAAGAAAATAATAAACAAGTAATATTTGATGAACTGAATATACAGAGTAGTTGCTTGATTGTTTTCAGGAAGGAACATTTATGCAAGTGTTCTTTTAGCAGCGACCAAGGTGCCTCCTGGATAGGTAACATGGAAATTGTACTTTACTGATATTATTATTTTTAAAGAAAAAACATGTTCCTTCGCATTGCTCTCAGTTTTAGCTGATATACTATACCAAAAACCATTTTATAATACAGATGCTTTGTTGGCTACAAGAAAAGGTATTTGACGAGAAATAGAGTCTTTTGCAACCAAAGGCGGAAATGTTTTGGACGGCAGTAATGAGGAGGTTCAAGTTAAGGAGTGACCGTACTAGCTGGTACTTGTATTGTTGTCTTCTCGCGTTTAGGCTTGGGTTTGAAATAACTCGTTATCAAAGACCCTGAAAACTAAATGTGGTACGTACCCATTATTTCGAAATGGTGACATTTAAATTCTTGTGTTTAATTTCCTCTTATATATAAAAGAAAAGAACTACTATCACCATTATGGCCGGGAATAAGGTGCATTTTCTTTCCTCAATTAATAATTCAGATATTACAAAGATGAAATGCGCAATACATCTCAGGAAACCTGGAAACATGAACAAAGCTTTTGTTAAATAGTTAGAACTATGATTGCTTCTTTATTTATAATCCCTTGTTATTATTTTTAGCCATGGACCACAGTGTAATTTCTATTCTTGGTCATGACACAGTGAAACACATTTTGTACGGAGTGAGCATGAACGGGAGAGCTGTTTTGAAAAGCACTACAGATCATGCAGCGAAGTTCATAGCTGTTCCGCTGAGCGACTGGGAGGCTGTTCAAGCCAGAGACACCACAAATCTTGCTGTTATGATTGGAAATGATTTCGCAATAAATACTACCAACAATACACCGATGCCTATAACCTCTTCTAATGGAAGCGAGTGGGGAGGTACATTTGTAGCCGGTTTAATAAAGTAAAAAAAATTAATATTGAATTTAAACCTCTCAGTCATAAAGAGCTGTGCTTTCAATCCTGGCCGCAAACTAAAACCATCTTTCACTTTTCTAAATCTGCTGGTAAACATCCAGTTCATAATCTAGCCTTTAGTTCTATTCTTTTATACTTTAATTGCTCATTTATCGCTTTTTTATCCATTCGTTCGCAATTCGTTAATTCTTGAAAGATAAGGAAACGCTATTCTCTCATTCTATTCGATTTTTCGATTCAAATACGGGCCCACCCACCGTCATCTTCTTCTATCCCATTTCATGTGGCCCAGACCCGTGTACCATCAGTTTTTCTATCGCATTCTATTCGTTAAACCTTATATTCCATATCTTCTTCACACACTAATACTATTTAATCCCTCGCTCTTCCATCTCACCTTTGAACGCTTCACCCATTTCCATCCCATGCTATCCAATTAGTTTGTCCTTTTTTCCTCTTGTTTTCAGTGTCTGCGAAAGGCGTTTATGTAAAAGAATCCTCAGAGTGGAAACTGAAAGCAGTTTGGATGTGTTCTGGTTTGTAAGCTTGTATTCGGGTCAGTTCAGTTGACTTAATTTTCGCAGGCGAGAATAAACAACTAAAACAACATACCGACGTAAATCGTTTATATAATGTTCAATTTTTCGCATCACCCACTTTTTGACCTTGTTTTCGTCTTTTGTTTTTCGCTTTTGCCTCTTTTTTCTTGAGCAACACAAAGGATATAATTCTTCACTGTAATACTGTGCGTGTGTCTGAAAAACAAATAATAAAAAAGAGAGACGGCCTAGCTTCTGTGCTTATGTAGGTTGTATGCTTACGAGCTCCGCCATTTTTTAACAATGACGAACCAATGGTATACTGCTTGCATCTTTCAAATTTGGTCAACCAGGACTGGTTATGAAGAATTAGCTGGGGGATTTGAGTCTATCAGAAACAGTTGAATGAATCATCATGTTTGTTATTATTAAATTCACTCAAAATATTTCGCCGCTTCTAATAATATTGGCTCAAATCCCCTGGCTAATAGGCTCTTTGCATGACTTGATCACGTGATCAACTTTCAATAAACATGAAAACAGTTTTGCTAGGACAAGCTGAAAGAGCATATTAAAATTAAGTAACCTGAGAATTTTCATCCGTGTATCTCAAAATTAAAATAGCGATTGTAACGGCCGCCGAAAGTTACAAGCATTTGTATGAGAAAAACATCTTTTGCCACCCAGTCAAGCTTGCATGGTTTTCCATACGTACAAATCCTTGTAAATTCTAATTTTTTTAAACTGTCGTTAAATCTTTCCCTTACGTATTTAAGGGCTCAAATTGCCTGTTATGAATTAAAAGGAGATTTGAGCCCTGTAATGCTTAAGGAAATATTTGATGAAAGTCAGTTTTGAAATTTCGAAATTACAAGGACTGTTATGGAAAACCATGCAAGCGTGACTGGATGGCAAAAGTTTTTTGTCATACAAATGCTTCCAACTTTCGGCGGCCGTTACAATCGCTACTTTTGAGATATACGGCTGAAAATTCTCAGGTTGCCTAATTTTAATATGTCCTTCAGTTTATGCTAACTGAATTTTTCAAAAAGTGAACTGTTTTCGTGTTTACCGCAAGTTGATCACGTGATCAAGTCACGCAAAGAGCCCTATTCAGTATAATCAGCTAGCGTTGTTAACCAAATTTGGAAGATTCGAGCAACATGTGATCGATACGATAAAATAACATCTGTCTGTATCCTGAAACCGTGTCGAGAAAGAGGCAAATGTTTTAAAAAAATAAAGTCTACAAGGAGGAAAAAAATGATAAAAGAATTGGGATATTATACTGATATTACTGAGGAATTACGAAGCGGATCCTGGACGCTGACATCGGACTCCGCCCTCGGTGGATAACTTCCTGCTTCTCTCCAGCTTAAAATTAACCATAACAGCTGTTTTACCAAATATGGCAGTAACATGGCATATAAATCGTTAAACGTCAAGACAAGAAACCTTAATTCCGCAAACGTTAGAGATTCAGGGCCAGTTATTTAAAACTAGGTTAGCCCGTGTTTGACAAAACCGTGTTCTAAGCCAATGCTTTTTAAAACACCATTTATCATGAGCAATTTCAATAAAGCGTAGACTGAAAAAGCATTTGAATAGGAAAAGGAAAAGGAAATAAAATAAATGAATAAATGGACTGAATTAACTTCCATAAAATTATAATAATAATAATAACGAATAATAATAAGAGTAAAATGAAATAAAATAAAATGAGCAAACTTGTACGTTCAGCGTTGCTGCTATCTTGTAGTATTTCTTTTATTGTGGTTGTCTTTGACAAATAGTTTTGTATGTTAGTTTTTTCCTACTAACTCTGATTAATAATAAACAGTATATCAGATTGCATTTATTTGCCATTCGTAATTCTTTCCTCTCTCTCTGTTTGTCTTCTCTGCCTTTTTTCAGATGCTGGTAAGTGATAAGTTCATTACTGGGATTTGTTAGTATGATTTTAACCCTTTTGACTATGGAACTAATGTGCATGCGCAATAAGCAAAACGTAAAGCTTAATAAATCCTGTTCACCAAGGAAAATGGACAAACTGTTAACCATATTCAGGCCGCTCTGTTTGCTCTTTTTTTTTTGCTTAGTTAACTACTGCGTCCGGGGGAGCGGGGCTTGTGGAGCCACCCTCCTCGATAACTTCAAAACTTCTGTAAACAAAAACCGAGCAGCTTGTTTTTAATTTTGAGCAGACGCCTACGGTTACCATATTTGCAGACCATGGTATAATGGCTCATATGCCATGATGGCTAAGCCAATCCGAGCTCTAGAATTGCATTATCCAGTGATTCAGTTCTTAATAATTACCATTATCACAGAGCGTAGGCTTTAAAGGATTTATTACCTGTCCCTTTCCTGCTGTTTTATGAATTACCTCTCAAAAACCTCGCGTCGTGTGTTAAATTTTGAACAGGTTTCGTGGATGTTCACATCTGCTCATCGGGGAGCGACGACGCATCAAGTGAAAGATGTTTAGCAGGACAGGCCTCAATCGTCGTAGATGGAGTCGAAATGGGGGTCACTGTAAGTATCATGCATTCATAACCAGTTAATTAAAAAAGAGGAGCTAGCCAAGCAACGCTACAACTTACACAAAATCATTTGGAAAAACCAAAATCTAAAGTAAAAATTATTGTAAAAACGTCGCATGTCAAGTTTCATTTTGAAAAGTTACCCGTCATTCTCATAACGAAGACCGAAGACGGGCCAGACGTTTACAGCTTCGCGATTTTGTACTTTGCAAAGAACAAGAATAGGCCATTTGCACTAAGAGGTCATGTGACATCGTTTTTCTGAAAATGAAAGTTACATGATTTTTCCTTCGAAAAACGATTAGTGGGTCATACCTTAAACAAAATAATAGTGATTTGGTTTTCTAAACCCGCACCATTTTCTTAAAATGAGTAAGTTCGTATTTGGTCACGTGACCAAAATGTGATTTTTAAAGTTATGAATTACCTCTTTCTGAACACAAATTTTGCACTCAAACTTCGAAAAAAAATGTTGAAATAGATGATGAGGTAATATTTGCAGCACATCTGAGCGTAACTATCAAACATTTAACAGGATATGAGCAAAAAGTAGTTTTGGCCGCCATGTTGGAGATACAAATGATACTACTCTGTTGAAAAATCAAAGTACCATAAAATACCTCCCTTAAATGCGTTTCCTTTCAAATTTTGGTTGTAAGAAAATTTTTATGTGCTCTCTCAATTTTTGGCAATTGGCATTTTTTTTTTTAATGATAGCTGAAGCTGACAGAGTTTTGTGTCATCTTGTGATGTTTCAATTGTCTTTTTCCAAGATTCTTTTGTTATTCCTGGCTCGTTTGTTTATTGGGTTTTGGTTGAGAAATGCACCGCTTGTCAAAGTCATCGGAAATCCGATTTCGGATGGCATCGTTTTCGTTTTGCACCTTGCTTGATGCGTAATAGGGTTGAAAAGTCTCAAGCGATTCTGACCTTACTTGATAGCTTTCAGGAGCTGCATCTCGAATGGTAAACCTGAGTCTTTATTGTATTTGATGTTTGTTTAATTTTTTCTGGTTCCATGAAGTCGAGCGTAGTTTATGCGGCTATTTAGTTTATGCACGTTTGTAAGATTTGAGACAATAATCTGACTTACTATCAGTTTACTATAAGTTTACAGAAAGCTTTTAGACATTTTCTGACCGCAAGGCATTATGGAATTCTCTTCACGAAAATGTTTTATAATGTGTTCATTTCTATAGTTTGCTGTGTGAAGAGAGCGCGTGCTTCGATTGTCCTGAATATTGAATGAGTGGGAATTTGTCTGAAAAATTGTGAAAAACTGCAGCTCTGTCAGAGGTCTGTATGATTAAAAAAAAAAAAAAAAAAAAAAGCGCCTTATAGTGCTGTTTACCTCAGGTTTGATGTATAAAAAGTATAAAAAGCTGGTTTACACGCCACCAGATTTGTTGCCAAGATTTTTTAAAGTGAACTTGTCGAACACAAAAAGTTCGGCCTTATTTTTTTTATTTTCGCCTCTCTTTTAGAGAAAGGAAAGCAACCTATAAATTGCAACGCGTAAATTGGCTGCCACCTAGGGCTATCGTGTTTTACATTCGGTCTTTATAGCATAATGAATTAAATTTCGGTGCTGTTCATTAACCTTATAGAATGAAGTTGGTGTAGGTGGGCGACTGGGTTACTTTTTTTGGGAAGAATTTGTTTTCCAGGCCTAATCTGCTCTGATCAAGAGCAAATATGGCTCTTGACTGTGATCGAAGATTACTGCTATTTTTTCGGTGTACGGATAGGGCTATTAATTCGATGCAAGATTTGTTTCACTCTTGGAATGTTTGCAAATTGTTTCTCTCTACAATCACTTAGCCTTTCTCTGAAACGTCACATAAATGTGCCCAAAGGTTAACTGATTTGTGGATTACAAGTTTATTGTTTGATTTAAATTATAAATTTTATAGCGGAGCTCCACGGCTAAGGTAATCTACCCATCCAAGAAATTTGGTAATCATGTGACCGTACACCGAAAGAACGAACGAACGACCGTCCGTCCGCACCACAGGGAAACCAATGTTTACTCTCACACTTTCTAGCGAGTTTGGGAGCCCAGGAGAAAACTAATTGCACATCAATGTTGTGATCAATTGACAGCTGTCAAAACAGGGTATCCGCTGACCAGTATCACCTGACCGTACCGCGGGCTCAAGTGTCGACCCATCGAGGTCGAGTACTTTTTTGCAATTATCCGTTGACAAATTACCAGTTTCAAATGATCGCAGGCTCAAGTTTATTTTTTCCAATGATTCATATTAAATTTGTTGTGTTGATGTCATTATGGCCCCGCACTATTAAGATTTTGATTTCAAACTGACCTCGGACGCGAAAATTCAGCCAGTTTTTTAAAAATATATGCGGAGAAGACATTTTCTTACCATGGTCACGCGTTGGTCACGCTCTACATCCAATTTTTATGCTCTGATTGGTTAAAATTTGACAGGTGAGTTCATGCGGAAAATTTATGCAGCATCTTGAAAGTTGTTTACTTTGAGAGCTGAAGCTGACAGAGTTTTGTGTCAACTGGTGATGTTTTTAACTGCCTTTTTCGACCGGATGTACAAAATGAAATACAGCTTCTATCAAGAGTCTTCTGTTATTCATGGCTGGTTTGTTTAATATTGGGTTTTTGGTTGAGAAAAGCGTCGCTTGTCAAAATTCGATAATCCGATTTCGGATGGCGTCGTTTTTGTTTTTCACCTTGCTTAAATGCGTAAGAGGGTTTAAAAGTCTCAAGCAACTGTGGCCTTCCTTGATAGCTTTCAGAACTGAATCTCGAATGGTAAGCTTGAGTAATTATTGTATTTGATGTTTGGTTTTGTTATATCTAATTTCATGAAGTCGAGCACAGTTTATGCGGCAAGTTTATGCACGGTTGTAAGATTTGAGTCAATGATCTGACCTAGTGTCAGGTTTGATATAAGCTTACAGTTATATTTTTTCACCGCAAATAGAAAGAAAACGTTCCGAAGAATATTTAGTTATAAATTTGGCTGTAGAAAGAAACCTTTGACCGATTTTCTTGTTTGGAGGAGTTCATCTTTGAAAAAAGCAAACACCGGGAGGCCGGCTTAAAGTAAAACATAATTAAGTTAAGCTTAAAGACTCAGGATTTTTAGAGACACTTTTAATACCTGTCTTCGTGAATGAAAATTGTTGCCTCTGTAAATGTTTCACCGAATTATATTTCTTTTATTGATTGTTAGTAGTCTCTCTTGCAATTTTAATCGCTTGTACGTGCCGTTTGTTTTCATCGTGAACATCGCTTGCAGGAGTACTAAAAAATGTCGCGCGTATCAAACGCTTCATAAGATTACATATGGTTATAACTGAAAACATTAAATAGAGGATATTACACGGTGGCGAGAAGATATGAATTTTATGTTCGAGTGGCAAGAACAATATCTCACGAGTGAGCGAAGCGAACGAGTGAGATATTGTTTTTGCCACGAGAACATAAAATTCATATCTTCGAGCCAACGTGTAATGTTCTTTTTATTATATGGAGAAACCATTTCAACAAAAGCAAAAGGCGGGAATCGAGACGTCATTGAACGATACGACACTCACAAAGGTGACATACGGAAAATACGCCACTCGGGTCCCGGATGAAGTGGCGTATGGAATCTACGAGTGGTTTAGTTCCCAGTAAAACACTCTCCTCCATATAATAAATAATAATAATAAATTCGTTATTATGTTGAAGCGTAACTCTATTAAAGTTCATTCAAACACTCGACCACACTGACAGCTGCACTAGAAATGAGAACCGGCTGGCCGTATGGGTGATTTTGGAATTTTTTTAAGGTTTCGCTAAAAGCCCACGATTGATCGTCCTGAATATTGACTAAGTGCAATTTGTCTTGAAAAATTGTGAACTGCCGCATTCTGTCCGACGTTTGTATGATAAATAGTACTTTTTCACCTCAGATGTGATATACTGAAAGAGTATGAAAGGTTGGTTTACACACCCCCAGACTTGTTGGCAAGAATTTGTAAAGTAAACCTGTCAAACGCAAAAAGATTCGGCCTGATTTGTTTTCCAAGAATTTGTTTTCGAGGCCTAATCTACTGTGATCAACAGCCATTATGGCTCTTGAGTGTGATCGAACATGTTTGCCATTTTTTGGGTGTACATATAAGGCTATCAACTCGATGTAAGATGTTTCACTCTAAAATAACTTAGCCTTTCCCTCAAAAGTCACATGAATGTGCCCTTAAGTTAACCGATTTGTGGATTACAAGTTTATTGTTTGATTTAAATTATAAATTTATTAACGGGAGCTTCGCTTTTAGCCGTGGGTAAATCTATATATTAATGGGAGCTTCGCTTTTAGCCCTGGGTAAATCTATATATATATATATATATATATATATATATGCTCTGCAGTTCTGCATTTTATGTTGATCGAGAAATGCTGAACGGACGACTTCTCGTGTGATAATTTTTTTATTTTATTTTTTTCAGCAAAGAGGATACAATGTCGTGGTTCTCGACAGGGAAGGAAACTTCACTGATTTTAGAGCATTTGATTTTCATGCTTACTCATATGCTGATGACTATTTGAGTGATTTTTTAGCCGAAATTGCAGACAACGCTATCGTGTTGATCGCCGTAATGGATGAAGCTTGGTGGAGTGGTAACGCACCTGAAAGTGACAAACAGGCAGCTGACCAACAACTGAGAAGCTTAGGAGCCAAAAACCCCAGACCATCTGAATATCGTGCATCATGGGCCCTGGTTGGATATAAGGGATCACACGGAGGAGTGGATTGGGTTAGATTCGCAGAGGCGCCAAGAATGCAGGGGCCGACAGAGATAGGTGTAAAGATTCCCACACCGTTACATACCTATGGTTGCGCCTAAATGTGAACACTCATAAAAGAGTGTTGTCTTATTTTATTTATTATCATGCAATTGCTTTAATAAATGTGGCAATACACAAAGTTTATATCTCCGCGTAGGTCGTCAAAGTTGATGTGGCCCAAGCCGTAAGAGTAGGCATCCACTAAGCGAAGAAAAGCTTTCTGACCGACAAATTCACTTGCATCCCACGTCTGACGAGCCGTACATTGGTCTCCGTACATTTTCCAGTTGCTTTTCTCACCTCCTGCAAAAAATAAACTAAAGTTGAAGCTATGTAAAAACAAAATCCTTCTCATACGAAAACTACATCTGGAGCACGGTCTTAAACCCTGACGCTATTAGCTCCTGTTTAAGGATGAGACAAATGAAAGTTGGTTCCCTATTTAAGGACCAAACCTGGAAAATGACACCATATATTCAAGGGAAAAAATGAAGAATCTAATGGTAGCGCATAAATCTCCAAAGAATCGCTTTCAGGATCCCCCTCCTAATACGCTGAGGGATCAGATGATGATTTTCCTCTAAATTGGCATTTACACACTTGAATCTTATCAGATACAATTTAGGTGCCCTATCTGAGGAGGGCCACACCGGGAACACAACGCCAACAAGGGAAAAAATGATACTGTTATGAAGGATCAAGACCCTTAGAAACCATACCCCCCTCTTCACCGGAGATCGAGACTGAATATGGTGTTTGACTGTAGGAAGTTTTTGCGGACAAAGTAATTTGTGTATAAAAATCCATCTTTAATGCACTTGTTGACCTCGTTGTTGATAACCAACTCCGCTCAAACGAGATTAATGTCACACCCTCCCCCAATTAAAAAAGACATCTTGCCGCTGGCAACAATGGTGAAAGCTGGGGATGCGACAGTTCCCTGTGGTCCGTCGTCTTGAAATAATCCCGCTGGAAAACTTGGACTGGGACGGTTTTCAAAACTGGCGATCCACCAATCTCTCTGTTAGTTTGCAAGGCTGCCCTCTGCCACGTGCTGTTGGGTTGTCCCGATAGGTTGGCTGATTATTAAACGCACTGCCAGACTTAACCCAACCATCAAGACTACCACTTTCAAAGTCGAAGTGACAAGGAAAACAACCTAATGTACAAAAACAGACCTTCATGGGTAAATCTCAGGGCATTTTGCTGCGAAGTTTTTAAGTGAATAGCTTCTTGCAGTGTCGATTGCAAACAATGAAATACAAGTGTCTCATAAGCCGACCACAACTTGGTACTATGCCCCCTTCCCGGAGGGGAGAAATACACACCCTTTTTCAGTCATCAATAGCAGCAACCCATCATGATATCACTTAAGTATTTCAAATCGAGGATCAAAAACTATGGTAGAAGGACGACTGTCTCATCCATATATAACAAGCGAATATGTTCATGGAAAGTCCTTTCTGGGTTATTTTAGCACTCTCTGTTGACCCATCAGAAAGTGCTCCATATTAACTCCTCTAAAGCCACTGAGATACATGTATCTTGGAAAGTTATTTACTAACCGTGGCAGCTCCAGGTTGCTTTAAGTTTCCACTTTAATAATTCTTCCACGTGAACACCAAGCGATGACACTGCAATATAAAGAAAGGGAAGAGCAATAATTTTATTTTTAATGCTAGTGAGTTGTAGTTTTTCGCTCGCTCTCCGGCTGTGGTGTTTATAGTCTACAAAGAAACATGTGAAAGATCCATTATTTCGAAAAACGTTGAGTTTCTTTTTTCTTTTATTTATTTTTCTTTTTTTGCTTCGTGGTAGTATTCTAGACCCGATTGGCAAATAGAAAGTGGCTTTTTTAATAGACCAATCATGGCTCGCACTCAAATCTTGGCACTTTGGTGGGAACCCAGAAACAGAGTTATTTCCACGCTGTCTCCTAGACGGACTTAATCAAACGTTTTTTTCTCGTCTGTGGCTAAGGCTTAGGGCAGATGATGTGCGCTCTATTTTCTGTTGACAATGATTTCGCGATATCCCTACTATCTGAGCGTGGCGTAGGCTAGAACTAAATATTCCCAGGCTACCTGCTATTCCATTTGTCCATCATCATTCAGCACATAAAAAAATGACATTTTTCACGATGGTGTTATAGAAACTATTGCTCTAATCCCTACAATTACACGGAAGGAAACGCGCGGAAACGCTGAATGGCATACTTTTAACTAGAATTACTCCGATCCAGTATCAAAGTTTTATACCTCCCCACTTGGTGCCGCTGGTTGAAGTTACTGTATGCACAGGTGGTGGTGTCCTGTTGGTGTCATTAATAATCAATTCACTTCCAATCATAACAGCAAGATTTGTGGTGTCTTTGACTTTAACGGTATCAAAGTCACTCACTGGAACAGTAATGAACTCTGACGAATGACCTTTCGTGCTTTTCAAAATTGTTCTTCCGTTGGCAGTTACTCCGTACAAAATGTTTTCCACCGTGTCATGGCCAAGAATAGAAATTATATTCCGATGCATAGCTGAAAAGGGATAAGCATATACCGTAAAATTCCGAATAAGCCCCGGGGCTTATATTTTTCAATGGCCCTTTTTGAGGGGCTTATTTTTGGAGGGGCCTATATTCGGAGGGGCTTACCTATGGAGGCAAATTTGCGTTTACAAATCGATTGGGCTAGCCTTATAGTTGGAAGTAAATTTACCGTTTTTGCTTTGTTTTATTTTGTATTTGAGGGCAATTTTCCAAGTACAAGCCCCCGGGGGCTTATATTTGGAGGGGCAATTTAACGGAGGGTTTTTTTGCGTCACTGGTTTGGGGGGCTTATATTTGGAGGGGCTCATACTTGGAAGGGCTTATTTCGGAATTTTACGGTCACTCAAAAGAATCGCCTTATGCACGGAAATCCAAGATAATCAAGGATTCCGGATACTAAGCCTTAGATTTCAGATTACATAAACTGGATTCCGCTTCTCTATTCGGAATTCCGGATTCCTTAAGCTGGATTCCGATTCACAGAACTCCGAAATCGACAATATCTAGGGGAAAGAAGGTAAGTAAGAGTAGTGAAGTAGAGACCGGTTAAAACCTTTTTTGCCTAGGAATATCATTAACTTGCGCCGTCCTTGTGTAATAAATAGGGAGCTTACGAATTGACGACTTTCGCACAACGACGCCGTTGGACTGCGTGACAGGCTTACTGCGCATGCTCATCTGGGCACTTGTCGGCGTCGCGACAAAGTCGACGCCGTTGTTGACAGCGATTCGCCGGCGTCCTAAGAAAAGCAGGATGTGAGACTAATTTTCAAAGTTTTTCCTACATACTTCAGCGGATTTTTCCAGATAAATCAATTGGGAAAGCTCAAAATAAGGTATAGGCAACTATTAAATATATATAAAATGATAACAGAATATTGCAAGAAACTGACTTTTACTTGCTGTTTAAACGCGCACTTACTAGCACATATCATCTCTTAAATCAAAATTTTACACATTTAAAAAGGTAATCGTGTTGGTAATCAGAATCACAGTTTCAATGTTAATGCTAACCGGAGGTACGTAGTGCAAAGGAGAAAACTCCACCAGGGAGTGTATCAATGTTTGTTGGTGTTCAGTCTTCGTTTCCTTGAGAGTTATTCGTGGAGTCTTTGGCTAGTCTTTTAGGATATGAAAACAAACAAACAAAAAAATCACTGAAAGCCAGCGAGAAAACCAACGTCATTTGCTGACAAAAAGAACAGAAGGAGATGTCCACCTAAAACTTTTAGGAAGAAAAAGGACTTATTTCTAAGGTAAAGTTTGCCAAAAAAACACATTGACTTGAGAAGATATATTATAGAGTGATTGTTTTTGACTCAAACTAATTGAATATTAAGTTATTTTTATATGGACTTATATAGCAAAGGGTGTAATTCTCCTCCTCTCTTAAGAGCTGAAAAAAGGATGACTTAAATCTGATATGATACAATGTATATAATTTAAGGTGAAAAAATAAGCTGGAGAACAAAAATACAATGTTTGCACGAGTTAATCAAAATGGAAATGTGTTAAACAATCGGTTTGCCCGGATGGACTCTGATTGTGAGTTTAAGCTTGGTTCTCCTTTTAATAAAAAGCATTCCATAAATCAGACAGTCTAATTTTCCATTGTACTTCACGAGTAGGGCAGAGATGCTGCTATAGTCGCCTATGGTTTTTAGGTCGTGGTCGTTCTTTAAGTGATTTCAGTTCGACGAGTGATGGTGTTCATCAATGCCTTGATGTAAACGGGGCTCATGTAGCCGACATGCTGTACATCGCACAGATCACATTGGTGACTTTAACTGCACACATCGTATTGTTGATTAATTAAAGGTGGTTTGGGCTCACGCATTTTATTCAAGATCATCACCATTGAAAATCCAGGGAGTCAGATTACTTATATGTTCAAAAATTTAACTCAAAGCTTTGACTCAATGATATGCTACGAGAGACCCCACACCATAGTTAAGAAAGTGAATTGTTATGAAGCCCTCAAGAGTCATATCTCATTTTTAAATGTTTTTATTAGCTTAGCTACTGAATTTGATATTGCACAATTTTAATTAAACAGGATTCAAATTGTTCCGATCTTTTCCAACAACAGTCATTGATTCATTCGGTCAGGATTTGTGAAGGACTATGCACCTTCGGGGAGCTTCTAACGCTCCTAACGTTAAATAGCAGAGTCATTTCGATTTGTTCTAAGTAAGTTTTTGCCCCTTCGTAACATTAGTTGAAGACACGTTCGTGAGACTACAGCATCCAATCGAACTTTGGTTTCAATTTGGTTGATTTTACTCTGTTTAAATTACCGGTTGATTACCAAACCGCGGCGGCAGACCGTTCGCGGTTTGGGCAAACAGTAAGCAAAATCCAGGACTAGTAGATTTCGTTGCAGAAGTGCTTTTAACATTTGTACAAACCAGTTTCATTTACTGAAAAACAGCCTGAAACTGGTTGAAAATGGCTTCGAAGAAATGGAACTCGAATTCCTGATTGGAAGATGCCGTCCGGAAAAACAAGACTACCTTTTTAGATGTCCCGAGTTACATTAACTTCTAGTTCTCAACCTGATTTCGGGGATTTTTTTGGAAATGGTACGCAATCACCATGTAGTGGGAGCAGTTGACTTTTTCCTCGACCGGTTTTCAAAAGTCCGGGTAGAGCCGTATATATATTGATACTTTAATCTGTGTTATTTTCAATATTGCAGACATGGTTGCTAAGACGTTGATTGCCTTTTTGCCTTCGTGATGCTAATTACTTTATTGGAGCAGATACAATCAGGAGTCCATGGGCACATGGCAAAACCGAAGAAAGCTGGTAGAGTTAAAGTGATCCATACAGGTCCCCGTGTTAGGAAACTCAAGAAAAAAGTGAAAGAATTGGAAAAGCAACTCGCCTCTTTGAAGCCGTGTGAACGTAAGAAACATTTAACTGCACCGTATTATAAACAAGTAAACTAGAAACAAATTAAGCTAGTTCTTATAACCTTCCTCGTACCCGGGACACAATCAAAGACGATACTTGGTGACTGAGGAGACAGTGGGCCTCTGTAAACGGCATCTGTTCATTATTTAGCAAGCTATAATTTCATATCATTATTTATTTCTTGAATAGTGGTTTCTTTGTATAAAAGATATGCATATCGTTTTAAAGTAGCCTGAGAAGTCCTCTGATATCATCAAATGCAAATAAATAAAGTAAAAACAAAATGCAGAAGAACCATTTTTCTTTCGTAAAACTTGCTTTTACATTTGATCTTTGCAGAACAAGAATTGGCGGATTCTCCCGTAAGTCATTACTTAGCTGATGTTATTACTATTATGATTATAATTACTTATTATTATTGTAAATGTTTCGTCCTGAATAAAATACAATTGCGGGCCTACCGGCCTAAGCAATTGACCACTCCAGAAAATACCATAACATACGATAATGCTCTTTGTTTTTCACCCCAAAATTTTGCATAAGCATTGTCTTCAATTTCTCTTGGAAGTTAAAATGGCCCCAAGAGAAACTGAGAACGATGCTTATGCAAAATTTTGGGGTGACAAAGAAAGAGCATTATGGTATGTTTTGGTATTTTCTGGAGTGGTCAATTATACTATTTACAAAAGCAGGAAGAAAAAACACTACAAAGGCTAAGATTACGAATAAAATGAACAATAAGATAATAATAATCGATTATAATGATTTAAAACGAAAATTAATCTCCGTGAATTAATTACCGACGCTAAACAATTAATGACGATAAATCAACGATTGCAGTCTTTAAGGTGTTTCGATACAGTTTTTCAGAGGCCAACCGATATTTGCAATGGCATTAAAAGTGTTTTTTTCCTTGTCCGATCGCTATAAAATATTCACCAGTAATTGGCTATGGATTGAAATTTGTGAAAATGCAGTTTTAACTAAAATCGATAATACTATGACAACAATAAACAAAAAACTTTGAAACTGATAAAAGCTGAATTTTGTGTGATCTAAACCAGCTACTGAGAATCCAACACTAGGAACTTAAAGTTTGGTGTTTAGCAAACAATCTCCGTATGAAGTAAAAAATTGTGTGTGTTTGAATTCGAATAAAACGAAAATATATTTCAAACCTTAAATTTTCAATAACCGTGATCGATTATTTAATAAAAACGTTATAAATGACTCAAATTATTCTTAAGTAGCGTCCGAATGCTGCTCAATACCACATTTCGATGCTAGGAAATGTTGGTGTATTTTCGTTCTTGCGGTCTTAAAGACTAACCCGTTTTCTCACCACATTTTTTTGGTAATTTAATCACTGTTTATTTCAGTTTCTTGCCGTACAATAATAACATTAATTTTTACATACATTACCGACATTACAATTTTTTTTAAAACACACAACGACAGTATCAATACTACTAAACCTTAACAAGTATTTGTCGGCAATTGTGTACCACCTGTCAAGAGTGCTTGCCATTTCGATAAATGAAAAGACATTTTATTCTTTGATTTGGCAATGATAGTTTCTAATTGATAAACGTTACTGAGTCTTGCCAAGAAAACTCGTAAAGAAGGGTTTGTTCTCTTGCATCTGCAATTATATATATACTGCCTACCTACTAGCAAAATATGATTAATAAATAAATTGTCCTTATGTACCTTTATCCCAAATAATATATCTTTAGCAGAGAGATGGTTAATAACCACCCCCCGATTGCTACACCATTTAACAACTTCTGCCCAAAAACTCTGAGTAATCAGGCAAGAGACAAAAAGGTGTTCAAGGGATTCATCCGCCCCATCGCACAGAGAACATCGTGGTGATGAAGAAATACCAATTTTGTTTAAAAAATCATTGGTGGCCACATATCTGTGTAACAATTTATATTGAAATTCACGTGACTTAGTGTAAAGGGCAACCTGGTAGGGTAGGCTGTAAATTTCTTTCCAGTTTAAATAATCCTTTTCAAAAAATTTAACATATTTCTTTTGCGCAGTTGGTTGAACAATTTCTCCGTCTCTAATTTCTTTATAGATGCCTTTTGAGTCAGCATTACTTAATAAAACTTCTTTACCAGATAAAAACAACTGAGTCTGCTCGTGAAGATCGAAAGAAACAAGGCGATCATATCCATAACTCTTCAACGCATGACGCCAGTCCTTAGGGAGTGCGTCGAGTTAGGGAGTTGCAGCCAAGGATAAATTTGCCACCTACTGGTTTTAGATAATGAAGAAGAATAATTTTCCAGCTACTAAGGTCTTCACTCGCGAGCTTTTTACAGCATAATATTCTTTGAGTTTTAATAGAATCCAAGTGGGGAGCTTTCAATCCTCCATCTTCAATGTCCCCAACGAGCACACGACGTTTCACTTTGTCTTTACCTTTCCAGATAAAGTCAAATATAATTTTGTTTACTTCATTTACAAATTCCTTATCCATACAAATTAAGCTAGCACGATATAAGAAAGTGGGGATAATAAATGTTTTGACCAGTTGAATTCTACCAATGATAGTAATATCCCTCCATTTCCAAATTCTTAACTTATCCTTAATGGTTTTTGTAATTTCATCGAAATTAAGTTTGCGTCTGAGACGGCGATCATATGTGAAATATACCCCCTAAAATCTTTACGGAAATCTTTATCTTTAGGTCTTTAAAAGGAGTATGATTAAGGTTGGGGGGCGCGGGGAAAGAGTTTCCAAGTAACAATATTTCCGACTTATCATGGTTTTTATAACGAGACCAGAGCATTTACCAAACAGCAACACAAGTTCGAGGAACTTTATTAGAGATTTGTCGTTCTTCAAAAACCCTGTTAAATCATCAGCAAATAGCCCTAACTTGATCTCCTGACCATCCACCATGATACCTCGAATATCTTCGTCTGACCTTATCGTTGAAGCCAAAGTTTCTAACACGACAATAAACAGGTACGGAGAAAGAGGATCCCCCTGCCTAACGCCACGCTGAATGTCAAAATGTGCGGTAGCAAAACCATTGTTTGAAACACAGCTAGAAATATTGTTATAAAAAGTGTGAATCCAATGGATAAAAGAAGGGCCAAAACGAGCAGCAGATAGGGTACGAAAAAGAAATTTTCTGCTTACAGAATCAAAAGCCTTTTTGAAATCTATATCTATCAATCTTCCGTTTATTTTAAATCTCTCAGTGTAATCTAAGATGTCTTCTACTGTTCTAACCGCATCAAAAATAGTCCTGCCTTTAACATATGCACATTGGTTAAAATGTATAATACTGGGCAGGGTCCGGTTGCATAAAACCTGCACTTAAGTGCTCACTTAAGTAGGTCACTTACGAATCCGTTATGGGGACACTTACGGGTGTTGCATGGAACGCACTTAGCACTCTCGTAAGTTTCTGTTTTACGTAGTTACTTACGGGCTCACATAAGGGCACAGGTAACTTTGATGTAGTACTTTATTAGTGACCCACTCTATTTTTTTAAGTTAACCATCGATGGGTGCAAAGAAATTAGCTGGTCGTTTCCAACACTCTTGAGCCTCTGTTAGATGATAAATTCAGCCGGTTGAGATAACGTTTTATATAGACAGAAAAAAGTGTGTCATCATTTAACGAAAAAAAATTATTCGACCGAGAAGTTTCGATATAATAAAAAATACTTTATTAATGTAATATCAGCACAGGTTCTAAACTACTTGTTAATGTTAAGTTTTCGTCTAAACAACTGCAACTTAAGATCAAGCCGCTGTTCCTTCTTTTTTAGAGTTCTCATTTTGAAATCACGCTCTTCTTTTAAATGCTCTTCATATATGTTCTTAATGTTCCTTTCTCTGTGTCCTTATTCCCTAACAGACTCGGAATCAGGTACAGTTTGGTTATTTTGTTTGTTCTTCCCTTAAACGGCTTTCTTCTTACTCCTTCTCCGAAGTTCTCTAGCCACAGTCTAATTCAACCACCCTATCTGGGCCTACTGGAAGGTACGATGAAGTTGACGATAGGCTGTATTTCTCAATGGCACCACTTGAAGCATCAAGGGTGTGTTCTCTGGCTTGGATATTATCCCCAGAGTCTATTTCACCAACTATAGATACGAGGTAGGGATTTTCTTTTCCGAGTATCTCGGTGACTAGCTCGTCACCATCAGTCCACTCTATTGCACCTGCACCCCAGTCTTCTTTCGTTTGGCGTATTTGGCTTTAGTGGCTGACGACAAGTCCTCCCATTTCTTGTTAAGTTGTTCCTTGGTTCTTGGTGGGAACCCGGCGGCTATACTAGCTGTGTGAGCCTCCAACCATGTTTGCATTTTCAATATAAATGTCAGTGTAGGAGATAAAGTACCGAATAGAGTCATCTTTCTCCTTTTTACCTCATGGAGAAAAAAATTGTGATTTTATCCGGCTTAAAATTCGGCGCTTTTTTTCTGGGTTTAGAGCCTTGCTCATCTTCAGAATTCCGTTTCATTGACATCCTAGAAATGTAGAAATGTTTTTCTAAACGATGATGAAGAAGAAGCTACGGGCGACAGCAGCAATGCTGATGAAGGGTACCAAGACGACATTAATGAAACTGAAGAGGGTCGAAAAAAACGTTAGGAATTTGTTCTTTCGTTTTTTTTTTCTCTTTCACATTCCTTATAATCTATTGAAGCTGATGATAGTTTTTAAATATTTTCAGATCATTCAGCAAAGAAGATTGACATTTTAATATCCTATGAGTACAACTCATCAAGTCCGTTTACTTTCGTTGAAATACGTTTGCATGCCATCGTTATTTTACAAGAATATTTACTGATAATGTTTGTTGGATGTTCTACTTTTTTTCTGGAAGACGGCTTTGAATAAAGTGAACATCAGAGGTGAACAAAGCGGATTAGAACGGAATTACTTATGGACTGTGCAATAATTATCAGGACGGGGGGCTGAAAAACTAGAGTTATCTAGCAAAAACTTAGACAGTACCCCCCCCCCAAAACAAAAAAAATTAGTTCTAACCCCCCCTCTGTTATGTTAAAAATAACGTCGCCCCCCCGCCCCATCCCACCACACTGGTAAACTCAAAACTGGACTGAGCTGCCACCACAGCTTCAATAATGACAAACGTTATTATGTAACATCTAGTATCGAGAAGGATGTTGATCGCTTGATTGAAGATTTAGACAAAGCATTTGCTAAGTACCGGGGTGCTTACCACATTGGCTCAAAATCTAAAATTTCTGAAGCCAGAAAAAGAAAGGAGCAGAGAAAAAAATCAAAGAACAGGAGTTGAACGCTTCAAATGACAAACGAAAAAGAGCTTGCATTATATTTAGATCCTTGGGAGGAGAGCCTGTTGAACTTTGTTTTGAGCCACATATATATGGAATTCAGAAAATCGATTCACGATCAGTCGATGAAGAAACATTACTTTTATTCACAAAAACCGACAAAGCTTGTCTACGAGATTCCCATTGTTTTGTGGGGGAAGCTGAAAAACAAGTTCATGATTTTTGCTTTACATAGGATGAGCTCAATTAATTAGAAGACGGGTTAAAATTGATCAGTTGTGAATTTGCTTTTCATTTTGATGGAATATTTTCAATAATCGTTTAACAGCTGTTCGTGTTGATATTTGTTACAGTCTATCATGATGCCTGTATTTAGAATCTCTTTGACCACTTTTACGATGACAGTCTGATTGAGAATTTTCCATGATGCAATGGTCTGATCTCTGCGTTCCTTGTTTAATTTGTCCGCACTTTTCCTCGTTAAAGACCTCCTGCAGTTTTACATTTTTAAAACTTAAGTAGGGCATTTGTACGCAATTTGGACACTTCTCCGGGGAGAAGGGACTCCAGTATGAAAAAAAAAGAAATGGAATTCTTGTCGCAAGCCAATCTGGACGTGTCTCACGCTTTATTTGTCTCTTTGAACTGGCCTGCACCAACATCCGGCTTCACTTCGCTGCTATTTCACGTGCAACTAAAATAGAAAAAAATAGTTCTTTCCAAAACACGAAGACAAAACGACTTCTATCTCCGAGTTGGAGAAGACATGGGATCATTTATAATCATGGTCTCAATAAAGTTGCCAAAAGATTTGGAATTCTAAATTATTTATCAGCATACAATAACAATAAAATAATCTCAGAGAATGTCGGAAAGTCATTTTGTTCACTGAACTCTGGCTCCTGGATCCTGGCTCCTGGTTCCTGACTCCCGATACAATGTTTCCGTATGGTGGCGACCGCTGCTTAAAAATGCGGGCTCCATTTAATGTCAAAGATGTCGGACGTTTGCAACATGTGAAATTCTGTCACATAAGCTAAGCCCCCCTAACATTTGTGCCGTTTCGAAAATGAGCCTGGTTCTGCCTTTTTCTCATGGACACACTCTTATTTTAGCCCCCCTCCGTCAAATGAGTGATTTTACTTGAGCCCCCTATCTTGGCAGAAATTTTATGTAATGCCCCCCCTCCAGTTTTTCAGCCCCCCCTCCTGATAATTATTGCACAGTCCCTTAAATGAAAAACTTTTTTTTCACTTCTCAGTGAAAGATCTCGTTAACTTTAGTAGAAACAATAAGGATACGGGACCTACATAGGTCCCGTAAATTTACTTGCCATTTTTCCCGTAAAAAAAGTTTTATGCAACACCCGCAATTTCTGTTGTATAAATGACACTTAAGTGGATACTTACGAAAATCGTAAGTGCAGTCACTTAAGTGAAATCCCTAAGTGGACCACGTAAGTGATTTAATGCAACTCATTTAAGTTACGAGTACACGTACGTATACCCGTAACTGTTACGGGCGTTTTATGCAACCGGGCCCAGGACACGTTCCAGTCTTTTAGCGATCGCCTTCGATCCTATTTTAACATCGACATTGATCAGAGATATTGGTCTCCAGTTAGATATGTATCTTTTATCCTTATCTTTTTTTTCCAATAATATTATAATTGCTGTCTTTTGTGAGTTTGATAATTCTCCGACGTCGTAAGAGTAGTTGAGGCCGGCTACCAGTAATTCCCCAACTATGTTCCAAAAAAATTTGTAAAATTCAACTGTTAACCCGTCGTTGCCTGGAGATTTAGTGGGTTCAAAAGAATTGAGGCTCTTCACACATTCTTCAATTGTTAACTTCCCTTCACACACTTGAGAATCGTCAACAGAGAGACGAGGTATTCATCAGATTTTCAGAGGGTTCTAGATCGTCCTTCTTATACAGACCAGAATAAAAGCCTTCAATAACCCCCAAAATCCTTTTAGGGTCAGTGACTAACAATTCTTCTTCGCTAAAAACCTTACGAACTGAACTTTTAGCCTTCCGATGAGATTCTAGATTGAGGAAATATTTGTTACTTTTCTCTCCCTTTTCATACCAAGTTGCCTTCGACCGAATGATTGCTCCCTTTGAAAATTCCTCATAAATATTTTCATGTTCCAATTTCAAAATTTCAAGTTGTTCGATATTCTCGGTAGTAGGGTTATTACCGCACTATTCCTCCAAGACTTTGCGAGAGTTTTCAATATCAGATATCTTTTGCCTTCTTTGTCGAGCTTTTTCCTTGCTATAATTTATCGTTACCTGTCTTATCCTGTACTTAATCAAATCCCATAATACTCTTTTGTCGATTACCTCTTTAAACTCATCTAGCCAAAGCGGAACACTTTGGTTGATTAAAAGTACAAAATTTTCATCATTAAGTGGACTAGCGTTAAATTTCCAGAATGAAGGGCCATGTTTTTGCCGGTCTATATTGTTGAAGTGAAGAATGATCGCAGAATGATCAGAATTTATTGACGGAATAATATCGGTTCCTTCAATGTCTTCTTGACAGACATCACTTATTAGCCAGAAGTCTAGCCTTCTTTGAATAAATGGGTTTCTTTGCCTCCACGTAAAACGTCGAGTGGTAGGATTCCGAATTCTCCAGATGTCGACCAGATCAAAATCAAGACACAAATCCTGAATACTTTTAACTGAAGCCTTTTGAGCTGGATTTCCACCCGAGCAGTCCAGATCTGACTCCAGCGTAACATTAAAGTCCCCACCCACAACAAGCTTAGGTTCATTATCTTTAATAACATCATCGATTGTCGAATTCAGATTTTCAATAAAACGGCACTGTTCCTGAACTTTGTTAGGAACATAAATGTTTACCAATAAGAAATTTGCTCCTTGCACTTCAGCTTCTAATACAATATAGCGACCTTCATCGTCCGTCCTAATCGATATCAAATTGAAATCTAAATCACCTCTAACCAGAACCATTACCCCACAGCCATGACAAGTACCATGTGAAAAGAAAAGCTTACCCTGCCATTGTGTTCTCCAGATATCTTCAACTTCTGCTCTACTGTAGGTTTCTTGTAAAAAATAAAATCCGATTTCTGTTCTTTTAACCACATAAAAAGGGCTTTTCTCTTCGTAGCGGAGCGAATCCCTCGAACATTCAAGGATAATAATTTAAAATCAGTATAATCCTTCCTCTCGTAACGTTATTGCCTAATCTTGAGATGACAACTGGTACACAAGAAATACATAAATTAACAACGAAAGGAATAATAGCACAGCGTACTGTCAAAAAACACAAAACATTTAACACAAACAACAATAGGATATAATGGCTGCCGATAATATGTGACCCTCCACGGGAATTTGATGCTAAAGGTGAAAGCACGCGCACGACACGCTTGCACGACACGCTTAGCGTGCCGTAGATCACGGATATGCGCATATTAAATTGAAAAAGCAAAGACGGACACACTTGCCTTTGTTTTGGCAAATTTAACACGCTAGACCTTTTGTTTTTTTGTAGCGTGCCATATGTCACGGTAAGTGTGCGAATTATAGCACGGTTAGCGTGCAATTGGGGTAAGACACGCTGAACACGTTTGATTACTAAAACCGCTAAGATGATAAAAATGGCCTGGGTTTTCAGCGGGTTTAATCAGCATTGATAACTGGTCGAAGTGAATCAAATATACCAATTGAGACTGTTTTGGAATTTGATAGTAACCGTGGCCATTTGAAAATCACGGCTTAATGGTGGTCTAGCCTGGAATTAACGCGAGATCAGTGTAAACCAATTCCTCCGGCTGTCGGCTGTTGACCGGAATCGCAAAGAGGCCTGCTATCGCATGCGAGGCACTGAAGTTATGTCGCCTGAAAATTATAGTTATGCCACCGGAAAATTTTATTGGCAGTAATGCGCAGAGAAATGAAGTTGAATAAATTAGTTTAATACATTTCTTTAAGCCATGCTGAGACGAACGAAGGTAATTAAATCGGAGAAACAAAAACTGCCTAGAATTTTCTATAGGTTGAGGAAGGCTAAACATTTCTAGATGACCGTTCCATGCATGTACAATTTTCGAAGGTTATCTAATAAATTCCTTACGATTTTCTGAAGTCTAATTTTTTCCTTTTCATTCCCCAGTTAAGCTATTTTTCGTAGAGAATTAAGGAATCCTAAAATTTTCGGAACCGAAAATACGATAAAATTCTCACTTTCCTAAAACTTTCAATTGGAAGCTAAATTGGAAAGAACTTTGATTTTGCAATGCTAATATAGTTCTACCCATAAATCCAGTAGGTCACACCGTTCACTGTTTATACTTTTCAAGCGACGTTTTTTTCAATCAGATACTATCGCTGCGATCGCTGAGGTATAACTTTTTCTTTCTCGATAGTTACCAAAAAAGGGTGCCGTTCATAATCATTTACGGTTCCTTTTTGTAGAGGAAATTTATTTAGCTTATAGATAACACGCCTTGCGTGCTTTTGCGCACACTGAAAGCGTGTTGTGCTTTTTCGCACGGAGCTTTTGTTTGAAAACTTTAACACGCTCTTTTGTTCGACTTGCTCACGCTTAATTGTCTCAAGCGTGTCCTCTGAAACAAAAGAAATTGCTAATGAGGCAAGATTGCAAGCGTGCTAAAGCGTGTTAAAATAAATTCTTTGTTTTAAAGTGAAAGCGTGTCGTGCGCGTGCTTTCACCTTTAGCATTAAAGTCCTGTGGAGGGTCACATATTATCTAACACGCAGCCTATGGGATTTGGTACCACTAATTGAATATGCAAAAAGTGCTCCCGCGCTATGAAACTAAATAAAGTTTAATATTAAATTATGACCCACCGAAAAAAAAAAATATTATGAAGCAACGAAACGTCCCTCAATAAATAATTTGTCCGGCTCTTTTCTACTAAAGTAGGCAGTTTTACCCTCCTCTCTTGCGCGCTTTAATCGTGGCCATTGGTTCTTCCGATTTTCTTGTATCTCCTTAGGTAGATCTGCATACACTTTAACATCAATCTCATCCTGTGCTTCCAAAGCAGCTTTAAAGACCCGTTCCCGATCAGGATATCTAAGGAAACGTGCGATGATGGGGCGCGAGGCGCCTTCTTTTTTCCTTCCGAGGCGATGAACTCTCTGAAACTCAATATTACGAGCCCCTTCGATATCAAGATCTCTTTCCAAGAAACGGTACAACACTTCGCTTGAGTCTTCAATTGTCGACTCTGTACTTTCAGGAAGGCCAAAAAATCGTAAATTCTCTCTGCGGTTGTAGACCTCCTGATAGAGAAGACGCTCTTTTAGGGATACGATACTTTGTTGATTATTCTTGCTTTGTGTTTTGAGATCCTCAACTTCGGCATTTGCAAATTGTAAACCTGTATCCATTTCTTTCAATTTGGTTTCTGCCGAGTCGGCTCTGACCTTGAGCGACGACACTTCTGATTGAATGTTGGTCATCGTCTTTTCTAGACTAGCCACGTTCGCCATAACACTTTCAATTTTTTTGTCCATCTCGCCGAGCTTGTCTAGAACTTGTTGTAGCTTCGCTCCTATGTGCTTCGACATATCTAAGGCGACGAGTATCTCGTCCGTTTCGTTTGGTTCTTGGCTACAAACTCTTTTTCCTTGCGGTGAGGTCTCACTGTGCGAACTGCTGCTTCCCCTCTCCTTACGCTTAAATCTACTTAAAATGTCATCCATATAAACGTATCGAGGCAAGCGGGAGAAGATTAAAAGATTAAATTTGCTGGTAGACGTTGTGTTGTTCAGGGGAGCGATTTTCCAAAATCCTCCATCCATATAAACAGTTGCTGATGGTGAATGCTGGTGAGTCAACAATAATTATTGATGTTGATGAGTCATATAGGCATAACTGCCTATCTTTATATTTTTATTATATTTGATCAATATTTGATTATTTCATAATAATTAAAATTTTAATGGTGACAGAATTTTTTTTAATTCCATTTGTTTAAGCTATTCAAACTGATCCATGGCCAGTAACAAAATGAGACAGAGTTAGGGCTAGAGGATGAATCAGAAGATGAGCAGGAAATGCAGGACGACGTATGAGGAGTTTGAGTGTGATGAAGACCCTACATGGAGTCCTGAAGAAATCGAAGATGCATATAAAAACTAAAGGAAGATGATGACTCGGTGAAGACTCATCAGAACCCAAGGTACAAAAGATGCAAAATTTATTGCATTTTAACATCTTAGCTCTAAGTATCCTCTGGGAAGTGATTTAGGCCTAAAACTAACTTCCATTATGAGAGGTTCTATTTAGAAACAAGAGTACATGAAATTTGTTTTTAATTTACTCAGATAAGAATTGCAAAAAAAAAAAAAAAAAAAAGAAGAAGAGGCATAACCAGCCCATAGACTGGAAGTCCCAGGCCTAAAATGTTTGGTTTGTCCACTCAACCACTTGTAATAAATTATGCATCGTTGGGGTGGGCTAGATAGCTATAAGGGCTCAAAGTTGTCATGTGTGCAATCAACAGAATTATTATAAAAAGCATTTTCAGGATGTATGTGAGAATAAAATCCCAACCCACAATTAGCCAGGTTTACAACAAGTTGAAAACTGGCAACACCCTGAGAAAAAAAATAAAAATGATAATCATTTTTTTAATTGTTATTTTATTATTTCAGATGCTATGATTAAATGAGTATTTCCTTTCAATCATTTTTACAGGTTGGATCTACAAGGAAAAAAACATTCGAGAGGAACCGAAGGAATTTTTTTTTCCTTCCAAACTTCTTCTTTTGTTTCAGTTCTGCCACTTGTGCTTTTTTTCAAACCCAAACTTTCTGTACCTTGTTAACCATAGAAAGTTTTCAGAACTGTAGCCAGACAAAAGTCTGGAAGAGTCCCAAGAAAAAATACGTCTGTATAAAATTATTAATTGTCTGACCTCTTCAATAACACTATCGCATAAAATCAGGACTACAGCTAATCACATAGCAACGAACTTAAACAAAACACACAGTCGCGTTCGTCACGCACACGATTTAACGACGGGTATGTTGAAATTGGAAAATAAAAATATAAATCTACATTCCATGATAATACCATACCATTCATTCGCTGGCACCTCTCCCGAATATCTTCGTTGAAACTGTTGTTCCTCTTCTTCTTCGCGATGAACTCTTTCGTTGTAGTCCGCGGCTTCTTCCTCGGTGGCAAGGGGTTCGCAACTGTCGTTGTACGGCGCAATTCAGACAATTCCCCAATCACTTCGTCAACTGTAAAACTTTCTAGATCACTTTCAGATGTGCAGGAAGAGGAATCCGACGGAGATGACATCTTAAACGTCTCGTTAAAAGGCTCTAAAACTCACAAACTTTTCCCAAATGCGAATCTTTTAGTTGATGTTTCTACGTCACAGTGCATAAATCACGTGGTTAAACGCACGATTAAATTTGCTTTGTAATGGAGGGGAGCGATTTTCCAACGTCTTCAAAAGATTTATGTTAAAAACTTCCTCCACTTTAAAGCCGATTTTCCAACGTCTTCACTCCTCCATAGCCGACCCAGACCCCACCACATGTATAAACGCAACTTCGTTCAAAATTGTATTTTTAGCGCTTTTTTGTATATCTCTGAAACGACTCGGACATAATGTAATGTATATAATAAGGTCTGAAAATTTCATTGAGATTGATTCACTTCAACATCTTAAAATTTCAAGACAAAAAACCTATCCTACGAACCTGTCAAAAATCAGCGTTACGACATTTTTCCAAAATAATGCACACTATACATACCTCCATGACTAGTACATTTTAGTTTAAATGTATCGCATCTTTTGAATCTAAAACATTGACAATACTCACTCTGAAATATACTAGTCATGGATATATGTATTGTCCGCATTAATTTGGAAAAATTAGCATAACGTCAAAACAGTGAATGTTGTAGCGCGGATTTTTGACCGGTTCGTAGGTTAGGTTTGTCTTGAAATTTCAAGGTGTTGCAGTAAAAAAAAGCGCTAAAATTCCAAATTTTGAATAAAGTTGCACTTAGACAGGTGGTGAGAAAACGGGTTAGTTTTTAAGATCGCAAAAACAAAAATACACCAACATTTCCTAGTATCGAAATATGGTATTAAGCAGCAATCTGACGCTATTTAAGAATAATTTGAGTCATTTATAACGTTTTTATTAAATAATCTACCACGGCTATTGACAATTTAAGGTTTGAAATGTATTTTCGTTTTATTCGAATTCAAACATACAGAATTTTTTACTTCGTTCGGAGGCTATTTGCCGAACACCAAACTTTAAGTTCCCTAAGTGCTGGATTTTCAGTAGCTGGTCTAGATTGCGCAAAATTAGGCGTTTATCAATTTCAAAGTTTTTTGTTTATTGTTGTCATAGTAATATCGATTTTACTAAAGCCCGCATTTTGACAAATTTCAATCTATAGTTAATCATTAGTGAAAATTTTAAAGCGATCAGACAAGGATAAAATCACTTTTAAAGCAATTGAAAAATATCGCTACAGCCTCTGAGAAACTATGTCGAAACACTTTAAGATACCAAAACAACTATCTGAGGAAAACGGAGGCGGTCCTTTTTGTCAGCATGGAAATTATCAGGGGTAATATATACCAAACGCGCTAAATAAAACAGGCTACAAAATTTTAATTATATTGCAGCCTGCACACTGCAATACTTTTAGCGGAGCTCTCTCGCGTGCGAAGCGCTCGCGCAGCGGAGCACCATGGGTAAGAAAATTTGGTAAACTATCCAACCGAGAAAATTTGGTTATGACGTAGCGTACGCCCGCCCGCCCACCCGTACACACACTGCATGTAAGAAGATGTCAAATGTCACAATAGATCTTGCTCAACTTGACTAGCCTCTTAGTTGTGTACGCCATCCGTATGAGTACGTTTAGATTGACAGCTGTCAAAATCAAACATCCGCTGACAATTATCACATGACCATCTCGCGGGCTCAGAAGAAAGACCAGTCGTTTTCCCCCTACATATAAGCTGATATAATATGTCACACTTACCAATTCAGCATAAAAACGAAACTACGCCGGGCAAGGCAGTCAGTTGGCTGACAGTCCTTTAAAGTTATATTGGCAAGCCAAATTAAGGTCAATTGACAGCTGTCAAAATAGGACATGTGCAGACCACTATCAAAAAACTAATAACGTGGGCTCAAGTTCGCTCAGGTACACGATCTGGCATTTTCCACTACATGCCGGACGGATATGTCTTACTCACACTCGTAGTCTGTTAATTCGAATATTCGCCATTCTAATGCAGGTTAATTGGCAGCTGTCAAACTATAGTATACGCTGACCATCATCACCTGAGTGTATCGCGCGCTCATTTTTCTATCCATTGAGGTCACGTAGTGTTTACAGTTTTGCGCTGATATTTTATTTGATCACGGGCTCAATTCGAAGCCCCGTAGCTTAGAAAATCTATCCATCCTAGAAAATTCGGCAATGACGTGACCGTACATCGACTACCCGACCTTCCGTCCGTCCTCACCATAAGTATACCAATGTTTAATCTCGCACTTTCTAGCTAGTTTGGGAGCCTGCAACCTGATATTGTACATCCATGTTTTGATTAATTGACAGCTGTCAAAATAGTGTTTTCTGCTAACCAGTATCGCCTAACCGTATCGCGGGCTCAGGTATCGACCCACCGAGTTCGAGTGTTTTTTTTTGAAGGTATCCGCTGACAAGTTGATACTTTTCAAATGATCGCAGGCTCAAGTTCAATTTTTTTAAAAATGCATGTGAAATAAGTCGTGTTCATGAGCCGCACTTTTAAAATGTTGATTTCGAACTGACCTCGGACGCGAAAATTCAACCGGCTATTACATTTACATGCAGGGAAGGCAATCGCTTTTGACTTTTCTCACTGTCACGCATTGATCACGCTCTACGGTCTGATTGGCCAAAATTTGACAGGTGAGTTCATGCGGAAAATTTATGCAGCGTCTGGAAACTTGCTTACTGATAGCTGGAGCTGACAAAGTTTTGTGTCATCTTGTGATGTTTTAGACTGTCTTTTTCTACTTGGTGTACAAAATGAAATACAGCTGCTATCGAGATTGTTCTGTACTTCATGGCGGGTATGTTTATTGCGCTTTTTGTTGACAAATGCACCGCTTGTCAAAGTCATTGGAAATCCGATTTCGGATGGCATCGTTTTCAAAAAAGAGCTTACTCACTTGCCCTTGCTTGAGGCGTAAGAGGGTTGAAAAGTCTCAAGTGATTCTGGAACGCTTGATGACCTTCAGAAGAAGCATCTCGACTGGCAAGCCTGAGCATTTATTGTCTTTGATGTGTTTTTTTTTTTGGTTTCCTGAAGTCGAGCGTATGGTTTATGCGGCTTAAGTTTATACACGAGCAATGATCTAAGTAAGTAAGTAAGTAAGTAAGTAATAACTTTATTTAACCACGGAATTATTATCACTAAAAAGTGGTCTTCTAAAGAGCCGCAAATTCAAAGAAAAGGTTCCGAAGATTATTTAGTTATGATTTTGGCTGTAAACAGAAAGCTCTGAGCGATTTTCTTGCCTTGAGTTCATCTTAAAAAACAGCAAACACCGGTAGCCGGCTTAAAACATAAATAAGCTTATGCTTACCTGACTCATGATTTTCAGAGACACTTAACTCCCAATACTTCTCTTCGTGAATGAAAATTATTGTCTCTGTACATGTTTCACCGAATTATATTTATTTTATTGATTGTTAGTAGTCATATGTTGACGACACAAAAGTTTATCTTTCGTGTTCATCCGAAAACATTGACTCCTGCATTGCAAACGTCTCGGAAGATCTCCGACTTATTGCCTCTTGGTGCTGTACGAATAAGTTGCTTATTAATCCAGACAAAACTAAACTTATTCTCTTTGGAACGAAACAGCTTTTAAGTAAGGTACCTGACATTAGAGTCCCTTTTCTTGGGCAACATTTAATTCCTGTGTCCTCAGTCAAAGACCTGGGTATAATTTTGGACTCGAACCTTACTTTTAATGAACATGTTAACACTCTGACCTCGTCTCTTATTTCTATCTTACGCCAGATAAACAGAGTTAGGCACCTGTTTTCTAAATCAGTACTCACTACCATTCTGAACTGTCTTGTTTTTTGTAAACTTTTTTATTGCTCGACAGTCTGGTCTGGAACGTTTGTGCACAACATAAACAAACTGCAACTCGTACAAAACTTCGCCGCCCGTGTGTTGACTAACACCAAGAAGTTTGATCACATCTCACCAGTGCTGCGTGCATTGTGTTGGCCTTCTGTTAAGAATCAGTTACTAGTGCGTGATGTTACGATGCTATGCAAAATAGTTAATGGCCTTGCACCACCATATTTAGAGTGTTACGTCAACAAAAGATCAGCTATCCACAGCTACAATACTAGATCTAGGGACAATTTAGTCGTACCGCTTTGTAGGACAGCCACAGCACAGAGGTCCTTTAGTTACAGAGCAATCACTGCTTGGAATTCTCTTATAAGTGAAGAAACAAAAAATAGCGCAACACTCTCAGTTTTTAAGCGCGCAGTAAAGCGCGAAATATATGATAGTTCGTAGTAAATTTTTTAGGTTTAGCATTTTTAGAATAGGTTAATTTATTTATTTGAATTAGTTTTTTTTATTTTTATTTATTTTTTTTTTTATCATGATATTATTGTAATTTTTATAAGTCGTTTTTATTCGATTTCCAATTATTGTAAATTAAATCGGAAGAGCCACTGGCTGGAGATTTAATAAATTTACTACTACTACTACTACTACTACTATCCCTCTCGCAATTTTTATCGCTGCACCGGTTGTTTGCAGTCGAACATAAACATCGCATGCAGGAATACTCAAAACCCCGCGCGTAAATATCACTCGCTTTTAAAGATTACACATAACAAAACCATTCACAGTTTAATAAATAAAGGTAAATAAAACCTAAACATAACAATTTCTCTATCATGTTGAAGCGTAAATGGTAACCCTATTAGTCACACTGCAAATTTGGTGCCTGTCAAAAGTGAGAACCCGTCCGCATTGCCGAAAAGTGATTTTGGGAATTTTTTTTATCGTTTTCATTAAACGCCCGTAATTAATACCCTGCATATCACATAGGACCAGAATTTTCTAACTGAAACGTCCCGGCATTATCTGAGACTTCTCTTCATGAAAACGTTTCGCGCGTGCTTTGATCGTCGTAGCTATTGCAAAATTGTGAAAAACTGCAGAATTATAGGTTTAAATAGTGCAAAAAAGAAAAAATTCTGTCCGAGGTCTGTATGATAAAAAAGGGCCTCAGAGTACTGTTTACCTGAGACGTGATGAGAAAAAGTATGTTTAAAAGGCTGGTTTACACGCCACCAGATTCGTCGTCAAGATTTACTAGTAAACTAAACTTGTCGAACTTGTCCAATTATCCATAGTCTCTCTAACGGAGCAATGTAGGAGAGACTGCTGAATGCCACATTATGATGCAACAGCTAATGCAAATAATATATAGATTTAACCAGGGCTAAAAGCGAAGCTCCCATTAATAAATTATAAATCAAACAATAAACTTGTAATCCACAAATCACTTAACTTAAGGGCACATTCATGTGACTTTTGAGGGAAAGGATAAGTTATTTTAGAGTGAAACATCTTACATCGAGTTGCACTAAATATATGTACATTCAATAGCCATAATTGCTCTTGATCACAGTAGATTAGGCCTCGAAAACAAATTCTTGGAAAACAAATCAAACCGCTTTTTTTGGCGTTCGAAGGGTTTACTTTACAAATTCTTGCCAACAAATCTGAGGGTGTGTAAACCAACCTTTTATACTTTTTTTACATCACATCTGAGGTGAAACAGGACTTTTTATCATACAGAACTCGGACAGGATACGGCATTCCACAATTTTTCAATGTTCCGGACGATCAATCGTGGGCTTTTAGCGAAACCCTTCAAAAAATTTCCAAAATCACCCATACGGCCAGCGGGTTCTCATTTTTAGTGCGAGCTGTCATTGTGGTCGAGTGTTTGAATGAACTTTAATGGAGATACGCTTCAACATAATAAGGAATTTATTATCATTATTTTTTGTTATTTAATGGTTCCATTTATAACGATATGTAATCTTATAAAGCCTTTGATACGCGCGACATTTCTAAGTACTCCTGCGAGCGATGTTCATGAACGATGAAAACAAACACCACGGACAAGCGATTAAAATTGCAAGAGAGACTACTATCAATCAATAAAAGAAATATAATTCGGTAAAACATTTACAGAAACAACAATTTTCATTCACGAAGACAAGTATTAAAGTGTCTCTAAAAATCCTGAGTCTTTAAGCTTAAAGCTTAAGCTTAAGTTTATTTTGTTTTACTTTCAGCCAGCCTCCCTGTGTTTGTTTCTTTTATTTTTTCAAAAATGAACTCCTCGAAGCAAGAAAATCACTCAAAGTTTTCTTTCCACAGCCAAATTGATAACTAAATATTCTTCGGAACGTTTTTTTTCTATTTGCCGTGAGAAAATATATCTGAAGGCCTTTTATAGTTCTGTAAGCTTATATCAAACCTGATACTAGATCAGATCATTGACTCAAATCTTAACAAACGTGCAAAAATTTGCCGCATAAACTGTGCTCGACTTCATGAAATTAGATATAACAAAAACAAACATCAAATACAGTAATTACTCAGGCTTACCATTCGAGATTCAGTTCCTGAAAGATATCAAGGAAGGCCATAGTTGCTTGAGACTTTTAAACCCTATTACGCATTGAGCAAGGTGAAAGACGAAAACAATGCCATCCGAAAACGGATTACCCAATTTTGACAAGCGACGCATTTCTCAACCAAAAACCCAATAAACAAACCAGCCATGGATAACAGAAGACTCTTGATAGCAGCTGTATTTCATTTTGTACATCCAGTGGAAAAAGACAGTTAAAAACATGACAAGTTGACACAAAACTCTGTCAGCTTTAGCTGTCAAAGTAAACAACTTTCAAGATGCTGCATAAATTTTCCGCATGAACTCACCTGTCAAATTTTGACCAATCAGAGTACAAAAATTGGACGTAGACCGTGACCAACGCGTGACCATGGTAAGAAAAGGTCTTCCCTGCCTTTTTTTTTTTTTTAAAAGTGGCTGAATTTTCGCGTCCGAGGTCAGTTTGAAATCAAAATCTTGACAGTGCGGGGCCATAGTGACATAAACACAACATATTTCATATGAATCACTGGAAAAAATAGACTTGAGCCCGCGATCATTTGAAACTGGTAATTTGTCAGCGGATAACTTCAAAAAAGTACTCGACCTCGATGGGTCGACGCTTGAGCCCGCGGTACGGTCAGGTGATACTGGTTAGCGGATATCCTGTTTTGACAGCTGTCAATTGATCACAACATTGATGTGCAATTAGTTTTCTATTGGGCTCCCAAACTAGCTAGAAAGTGTGAGAGTAAACATTGGTGTGCCTGTGGTGCGGACGGACGGTCGTACGGTCACGTGATTACCAAATTTTCTCGGATGGGTAGATTACCACATTTCCTTAGCTATGGGGCTCCGTCCACGCGCGCTCTTCGCGGGCGCGTGGAGCTCCGCTACAATACACGAATAGGTCTATTTGTTATCCAGGTCTAATCTACTGGTACTGTGATCGAACATGATTGCTATTTTTGGGTGTACAAATAGGACCATTTAATAACTCGATGTAAAATTTGTTTCACTCTTGGACTGTCATATTATTTTTCTCTAAAATCACTTAGCCTTTGCCTCAAAAGTCAAATGAATGTGCCCTGATCTGTGGATTACAAGTTTATCGCTTGATTTAAATTATGATTTATTAACGGGAGCTTCGCTTTTAGCCCTGGCTAAATCTATATATTAATATTGCAGCGTGTACTGCAATAAAAATATTGCAGTGCACTATACCTGATAATTTAGAACGTAGTCAACAGCACCGTTTGTCTCTAACTCTTATTCATTGCAACTCAATTTTTTATTTCAAAGCGCCACTTTAATTACCTAAAACTTTCAAACACTGAAAATAAATGGGATCACGGAGACTGATAGTATGGAGCGAGTTTATTGTAATAACAAGTATTATAGTCGTAAGTTGATTTATACGAAATAACAATTTTAGTGCAATCAGTGCTATCAACTACTGACTGAAACGAGCCAATGTAAAGTCCAACTGCTCGTCGGACATCTCGTCTACATCTTCTTCAATTACTGGCTAGCCACTGTAATCTTGTTTTAAGGTGGCTCGACTGGATTTTTTGAGGTTGATACCTCCCAAGTTTGAGAATTAACTACGTCGGCATGAGTAAAGATATGGAAAAAAGGTTACCACAACTGTATTATATAAAGATGAAAATTTCTTATGATTTGGGTTTTATTGCAATCGGAGTCGCCATGGCAACGTAATGACGCCATTACGTTTTTCATTTATCTTTGTATTTCTCTGTACCAGGAGTTTTTTGAAGAAATCGCTTAAGGGAGTACGTACCTGCCATAATTGCCTCCATTATGGCAAAGTTTGAACAAATTCTATGAGAGCGTTTTCGAAATATTTTGAAATGCATTTTAAGAATCATAAAAACAGTGAAATAGCATGCTAGCCACACAAATCGCTGATATTTTAAGAAAATGATAAGTTTTGGGAACGCGGCTTCATCTCATAGTGGTTTGATTCCATTGAAAACTGCATACAAAGAAAGAGGGGAATTGCTCTGGGCGATCGCGAGTAAGAAGAATTTTATTAACTTGCATTCAGTTGCTTTTGATACAGTTTTTGGACGTAGTTTGGTCCATGCCCAAAAATTTCGCATTTTTCCAAAAACCGCTCGATGAATTTTTTTATAAATTCGACGATCCCGAGATCAATTGTTAAGAAATATTCCCTGCAAGTTTCAAGAGCATAGAAAACAGGTAAGGCTTTTAAATAGGGCCTCAAATATAGCCAATTTCCCCCCCAGATTTTGTGTTTGCAAGTGAGCGTCCTCATTATTCACTGGCATTGTTTTCAAGTTTCATATGCACGTGCACAACTAGCAAAAGACATAAATTTGCATCAAAAAGAACTCTCGATTATTTTCTGAAGAAATATCCGGAATATGCTAATAATTGGCTTGTCGTCACATATAGCAGTGAGAGCCGAAATGGTGAACGTCACGGCTCATCGTGTAGGATGCAATACGTAATTATCTTACTCGGGTTATAACATCACAGAACCTCGCACAAAGAGTCGCTCTGATGTTATAATGTATCACTGATCTCTTTACTCGGTAATTAGCATATCCCGGAGATTTAACCGAGGGCCCTTTTTGATGCAAATTCTATCTTTTTGCTAAATGTGCACGTGTATATGAAACTTGAAAACAATGCCAGTGAGTAATGAGTACGCACTCTTGTAAACACAAAATCTGGTGGGGAAATTTGCTATATTTGAGGCCCTATTTAAAAGCCTTTCCTGTTTTCAATGTTCTTGAAACTTGCAGGGAATACTTCTTGACAATTGATCTCGGGTTTGTCGAATTTATAGAAAAATTTATCGAGCGGTTTTTGGAAAAATGCGAAATTTTTAGGCATGGACCAAATAACGTCCAAAAACTGTATCAAAAGCAACTGAATGCAAGTTAATAAAATTCTTCTTACTCGCGATCGCCCAGAGCAATTCACCTCTTTTTTTGTATGCAGTTTTCAATGGAATCAAACCACTATGAGATGAAGCTGCGTTACCAAAGCTTATCATTTTCTTAAAATATCAGCGATTTGTGTGGCTAGCATGCTATTTCACTGTTTTTATGATTCTTAAAACTGTTTTTCAAAATATTTCAAAAACGCTCTCATAGAATTTGTTCAAACTTTGCCATAATGAAGCCAATTATGGCAGGTACATACTCCCTTAAGCGATTTCTTCAAAAAACTCCTGGTACAGAGAAATACAAAGATAAATGAAAAACGTAATGGCGTCATTACGTTGCCATGGCGACTCCGATTGCAATAAAACCCAAATCATAAGAAATTTTCATCTTTATATAATACAGTTGTGGTAACCTTTTTTCCATATCTTTACTCATGCCGACGTAATTAACGCTCAAACTTGGGAGGTATCCCCCTAAAAAAATCCAGTCGAGCCACCTTAAAACCGCTTCATTTCTCTGCTTCTTCCATTCCTCAAAGACTTTCAAAACCCACGCCCATTTACGGCGGCTGGCGTCTGATACCCAGCTTTTGTTAAACTTCTCGCATTCTGAAGCTGTAATTGGCGTTCGAAATCTTTGCTCTATTTTGAAAAGAAAATGGAAACGCCGCTTTTAGAGGTAGATAAAGAATTTTAAAAGCACTACCAGAAATGACTAAACGCTACACGCGATTACCTTCGATTTATGCTGAAATATCAGTGTTCGTAGAGCTCTGTGTGATAAATAATGCTTCTCCTCCGAGGAATCCATGGTCTTTCAAAACTGAAGTTTGCACTGAGTAGAATGACTGAATTCTCTGGGTTATAAAGTATTCAAATTTGCAGTGTTACACGCCTTGCACTTGTTAATTTCATTGTTAGAATTGTTTTGAACAACTATAATAATGAACTATATACGGTAACAACGCTCGGCTTCACTAAAATCGAAGATTCATCACAAAGAAGGAAGGATTTGATGAGCATCACAATTATCACACATACGGGCGACTAAAATCGAAGATCCAAAACAGACAAACAACGATACGATTTCATAAGGATCATTAATTATAATAGATAATTACTTCTGCACATGGCATCATGAGAAATATTGAAGCCAGCTTCGGTCCTCCCAGTGCTGGTTTACATATTTTCCCACCAAAGGCTATTCTATGACTTTGGTCCTTCTCTTCTCCTTGGCGGTTTTTCTTAGGATTTCTTCTATGTTTCGGGGTTCTTTAGTACTGATCACAGCTATCTGGTCGGCATGACTAATGACTGTGGCTTCTTCATTAAATTGGAAGTCTAGTTGCAGTTCTTCCGCAGATCTCGTAGCATCCGTGAGTACTGATTTCCAATTCCTGTCTCCCTTTTTCTTCTGAAACGATTTCACCAATTATGTACATTATCCGAGGCGCTGATGTAGTGAGCCGCTCTTATCTTTGGGTGTTTGTAGAGAGCTTCAATCTCCACAAGCCCTTTACTTCCTTCTCAAGATAGTAGTTACAGGAGCTGCGTCGATTCATGTTTGTGTTTACCATGGCATTCATTAATGATCTTCCTTGTTAGCCTGTCGAGATCTCTTAAAGTGTTAATTGGCCAATCTGTTGTCCACATAATACTGTGGTGAAAGAAAGATTCCTTTTCTAATGTCAACCTCACCTCTCCTCCAGCTCACCATGCTGTTGGTGATTAAAGAGATCATATTTATGGCTGCACCAACCATCTCCAGGCATTTCAGGACCCACGAATGGGGCACCATATCAAAAGTCTTTTTATAATCTATCCAAGCCATTGATAAATTTGTCAGCCTTCTCTGGCAGTTCTTCAAAACGGTTTTGTCTACAGGCAATTGGTCCTTTGTTCCTCGCGTTCCCTTTATACAGCCTTTCTGCTCATCTACTAGCAGTCTATCCCTTTCCAGATGTTGGTATAACTTCTCTCCCATGATTTCCGTCAAAAGCTTCCATATGATGGGTAAGCAGGCAATAGGGCGATAGTTGCTGGCTTGATTGACCTTCGCTGGATCCTTCTGTATCAACACTCTCCTTCCTATAATCATCCACTCTGGAACATTTCCTTGGCAAATACTGTCTTGCATGCATTCTTGCAATCTAGTGTGAATCATCTTAAACCATTAACCCTGAACTAGGTCAGGGCCTGCTGCCCTCCAATTTGCCATCTTGTTCACTCCATTTCTAATAATGTCCTCCACAATAATGGTTATATCTTACTGAGTCTGTTGTGCTGAACTCCTGCTCAATGTCCTCCAGCCAAGATGCTTTGTCATTATAACAACCCTCTTGCGACCAGATTCGACTCCAAAAGGAAGTACCTTTAGTAAGTTCGGGAAATTCTGTTTCACCTCGTGCTTTTCCATCTAGCGTTTCGTAAAACAGCTTCTGGTTAGTTCGAAACAGTTGATTCTATTTGAATTGTTGGTCTCTCTCGTCATATTATCGTTGTTGTTATCATTATCATTATTATTATTATCAATTATTATTATTCTCGAGGAGCGAGCGGAAGTTTTGCCGCGAGCGAAGCGAGTTTATAATTTTGTCGCGCGCGAGGATCGTAAGCGGAGTGCGATTTCGTTTGGTCATAAATTTTTCTATCGATTTCGTATCCGCAGTTGTCTGGCAACAAGCCATAAACAAATCTTTAGGACGCCATTCAGCATGATGTCATCGTGCATTTTGGTCTTCCAGGCAACACGTCCACCGACCAGGGCTCATTTCATTCATCCTCTGTTAATTTACCGTACGTTGGCGAATCGCCTTGCGAAACGCAAAGTATTTCTGAGGCAAATAACAGCGGGTTGCAAACACAACAGTGCCCGATTGGACAAGTGGCTCGAAATAGTTGCCGTGGAAGATTGAAATGTATTTTCCGTTAAACTCTTCAAACGATGTCGTGATCTTGTTTTCCTCCACGTGGAAAATGATCAAGATGGCGGGAACGGCATTTTCATTAACGGATGCGAAGAATACTGTCGGGTAGGGTGGTGATGGAGCAAAAAATCCACACATATCTTTTAAAAGCATAATTATTATAAATATTCTTTATAGAAATATCTATAACAGGCGCTTGGAAGTAAATGGGCGCAGGAAAGAACGGGGCGCCCTGTTGTCTCTCATTCCCATTCCCTTCCTGAAGAAGGAATGATATTAACCGCTTCTAGAATAACTGACAACTGCCCCAACCCCGGCCAGAGGTTTTCTTACAAATTCCCCAGTCGCCGGGACCGAGAAGATGACAAATACTCAACAGAGGGGGTGGGATGGGGGCGGGGTAGACACGCTTGGAATTTAATGAGCCTGTACTGCACCACTAAAGATACATTTTGGACCATGAAATGGAACTTCCACCAGCTCGGTAAGGCAAATGACATTTGCTTTAGTTTTTAGCGGAGCTCCACGCGCGCGAAGGGCGCTGGAGCAGAGCCCCATAGCTAAGTTAATCTACCCATCCCAGAAAATTTGGTAATCAAGTGACCGTACAGCGCCCGTCTGTCCGCCCCACAGGGAAACCAATGTTCAGTCTCATACTTTCTAGCTAGTTTGGGAGCACAGGAAAACTGATAATGCACACATATTGAAAATCAATGTTGTGATCAATTGGCAGCTGTCAAAACAGGGTATCCGCTGACCAGTATCATTTGACCGTATCGCAGGCTCAGTTGTCGACCCCATCGAGCCGTTCATGCGGACATTTATGCAGCATTTTAAATCTTGTTTACTTTGACAGCTGAAGCTGTGTCAACTTGTGATGTTTTTAACTGTCTTTTTCTACTGGATGTACAAAATAAAATTCAGCTGCTATCAGGAGTCTTCTGTTATTCATGGCTAGTCTGTCTATTGGGTTTTTGGTTGAGAAATACGTCGCTTATCAAATTCGGAAATCCGATTTTGAATGGCGTCGTTTTCGTTTTTCACCTTGTGTGATGGGTAAGAGGGTTGAAAAGTCTGAAGCGATACTGGCCTTACTTGATAGCTTTCAGGAGCTGCATCTCGAATGGTAAGCCTGAGTAATTATTGTATTTGATGTTGCGATTGACTTTTGATTGATATCGCTTTCTGTAAATCGATAAGAATGGATAATTTCTTTTTTGTGGCTTTGATTACAATTGTGATTTGTATCGATTAAGTACGTCAGAACTGATATTTGGTCAAGAAGGTCTGGAGTATTTCAAACTTGGAAAAAATGAGTACATTATTCAGAGCATGAGCGGTTTTGACCTTATAAAGGAGGGGTTCTGAACACAAACCCCTAACCCCCCCCCCATTCCCCCAGGGTTTCAGAAAGCAAAATATGCCCGGTCTGAATTGCGTTAAATCCTACTATTATTTTGATTGCTTGTGAAGATCTTTTAAATTGGTAGAATGGCATGTTTCTTTTATAGCTTGCGAGTCAGCTAAAAAAGGAGGTTTCCTATTTGCAAGTCCTGTAGAGTCCAACTATATTGATGCTGGAAACTTGAGTGCGCCTTTGGATGCATTAACGGCATGTTTGTGGGTCAAATTTGGCCGGGTGGATTATTGTACTGTTTTCGGCACTCAAAACCAGGAATTAACCTTGGTTCTACTACATGAAGGGCTTTTCCGAGAGGTGAAAGGTGGTGTACAAAGGTAATTAATGGAAAACATTTGTTGTGGTTGCATTAGTGATTGCTATTTGCAGGTCAAGTTGTTTATTATCTTTTTTTTAGATTGTGATAAAATGATTTAAAGAATCTCACCCACCCAGTTTGCATTGCGCGCTCACGCTCAACTCACGCTCTTCATTCGCCATTTTCAGGGCCCCCGAAAATCCGAGTTTTATAACCTTGATATTCCATCCTTTCTTTCGATAATTTATAGACGTTATTAAGGTCCTGTTTCCTCTGGAATTACTTCTATAGTTTCGGAACTATCTTTGTGATTCACATTTGTGGAAGAAAATTCTTTCCAAGCGCACTGTGTACTTAGTTTTCTGTCGCGTTTCGTTGAAACGTCGGCCAATATGGCGGATAGCCGTCCTGCTAGGGGCCGTCCAAGAAGACCAGAAGGCATCAAACGCCTAAAACTCAGGGAATCTACATACAATCTGTGGATTGAACGGAAGGAGGCCCTTGGGCTACACGGAATTACAAATAATGATTTCGCGGAGATGCTTCTTCACCAGCAACTTATACGAGAGCGTGATCGATCTCCTCACGCTCATCCAGATGATACTTCACCTCAAGTGCATCAAGGTAAAATATTGAATAATTTTTCAAAAAAAACTCTCTTTTTTTATTATGCCATTATAGCAGTTTTAGTATTTCGCTATTTTTTTTTTTATACATTCCGCATTCTTTCGTATTTTTTGGTAGGAAGAAGGCAGCTATTCCTCCAGTCGACCCCGATGGGTAAAGAAATCAGGACTGAGAATATCACAGTTTCCCCTTTATCCTTTGCTGGTGCTGCAGAAAACTCAAGTTTGAGCAAGTGAGTACGTTTAATTTAGCGTACAGTCTACAATCGGTATGTTGTGTTAAAAGGATAGGCTTGGAAACCTTGTACTAATATCATACAACAATAGTGAGTTTCTTCATTGCTTCGTTCATGTTTTCTTGTATTTAGGATTGAAGTTGATGAGCTAGAGAAAGACCAACTGACTGGGCACAGGACTCTTTTGGATGAGCTTTCTGATTGGAATCCCCTGTTTTCCTCTCTAGAGGGCAATCCTCATTCAGAGGCAGAGACTATGAGTGAAGTGGAGTAAGTGTGTCTATTTCTCTTTGCATTTCTCGAGACAATTTTTTTTGCTGAGATAAATACTCCCACTCTTATATCAGTTCATAGTTAAGCTGCTTAGCATCTGCTTTCGCCCTTGCTACCATTATAATTTTTTAAGGTAGACCATACCAATGTCTGTATCCTGAAAAGGGGGTGGGCAATCAGATATAATAATGTTAGGGATGGGCAAAACTATTTTAAATCTGAATGTATTTGTGATCCTAAGACCCTCTTTGGGTTTTGGAATTTTGCAGTGTAGTGGCCTTCTTTTACCGTACAGAATGGAATTTTATGCAGAAAAAACAACGTTACTTGGATCAGCATTTTCACATCCTGTTACTATTACAAATTTTTATCACAGAAAGTTCTGTTGTACTGTTCAGTGCATTAGCAATATTTTATTTTATTAGCTTCACCTATTACATGACACACAGCGAGCAAAACAAAGCTGAATAAGTAAGCATTCATTATTAGGCAAAGATTCCACAACACAAATAAACCAATTACATTGGTCCCAGAGTTTAAGAACAACAAAGAAGCTTCATTTGATTAAAAACAACAACAAAGATGGAAAGACACATTACATGAAACATTACATGATGGATAGATGGTAATAATGGTGAATTTGTCATTTCAGGTCTGGTGATCATGCTTCTGATGCTAGTGACTCTGAGACTGCAGATAGCTGGGACAACAGTGATCTGTTCAGTGAGTCTGATGATGGCAATAGGAGTGAAGAAGAAATAACTTTTGAAAATATAGAAGTCGATCAAACAAGGTAAAGAATGACGTGTACTTCTTTATTTTGCCATGGCAATTTGGAAAAGAGTACTTATAAACACTAACCCAATTTTAGTATTTTGAAAAGATTTTTTAAATGTTTATTAGGTCGGAATGTTGAATTTATGATGATATGTTTATGTTATGTTTCTGTTATTTTTACAGCTTTTTGTCCGAACTTGACAGCGCCACATTGACAGCCCTGGACATTGATCTTGAAATGGAAAGTGCCCCCGAAGCAGTAGGAGCGCAGGCCCAGACAGAGGGTGAGCCCACAGGTCCAGCAGAGGTGCAGACAGAAGGTGAAACATGCAGTGACTCATCACCAATCCTTCCTGTCTTTGGCCCAATGACTTTGGATGAGACCATCAAGGATATGAAATCCAGGATAAAGCCTGCAATTGAAGGACTGGCAGTACCTGGGGAACAACTGAATAGGTATCTTAAGTTGTTGAAGGCGGACAGGGTTATTGTGGAGGTGGAAAAGATTGTAGAGTTGCTGGAAGGAAATTGTCCAGAAATTGGGTGTACAGGTCAACGAAAAGTTGTAAGTAAAAAATTGGAGGGTGGTGTGTTGCTGATAACACACAAGTGTAGTAATGGTCATGGTGGTGTGTGGAGTTCTTCATCTATTTTGGGTGAAAAACGTGGCCAAAAAATGTACGTGTCATCTGTGTTGTTGGCCTCATCAGTTCTGGTGTCAGGAAACAACTTTGAGAAAGTTGCTCTGCTAGCAAAGAGCATGAATTTGAATTTTGTTTCGTCTTCCACATTCTCAAGGGTTCAGAGTTTATATGCTGTACCCAGCATCAGGGACATGTGGGATAAAATGAAGGAAGTGGTTTGGAAGGTTTTTGAGAACGATGTTCTTGTGGTTTGTGGTGATGGAAGGATGGATTCCCCTGGGTTCAGTGCTAAGTACTGTGTGTATACAATGATGGAGCACTACCTTAATGTCATTGTGGATCTTGAGGTGGTTGACAAACGAGAAGCAGGTGGTACGTCCTCTTTAATGGAGAAGATGGGGTGTAAGCGACTTTTGGAGAGGATGATGAATAGCCTCAAGCTTGGAGAGGTTGTGACGGATGCATCACGAGTCATCATGAAAATGGTCAGGGAACTTAAAGGTATTTTTAAGTTCTTATTTTTAATTTTTCTCGGGGCATCTTTTTTTCTGTAACAAGTTGGATGTGTTAATACCAAATTCAAATCAACCAACCTATTCCAACATACAATACTACCATTGTTAGTTATGAAATAGTAAAACTGCTTTTTCTAATAAATTTACTCTGCTTAAAGGCTAGTTTACAGAGTGGAATGACAGATTTCCCTTATAGTTTTTTTCTGGTTTCTGAATTCATGACAAATTTATTGTCTTTTCACAGTTTAATTTGTCCTATGTTAACACATTTCTAATTTGTTTATTATCATTTTTGCAGAAGCAAATTGTGAAGTGCTTGGAAACCTTTTCCACTCCCTTGACATCTGGCATAAATCTATAAAGCTGACTGCCAAGATAACCACTGTATGTAGATTCTGATTTATTACTTGTACATAATCCCTCAGAACTGATTTAGTCCATTTTGTGTTGTGCTTAACTATATTTTGTATTCCTATCTCTTAATATTTCAACAGACTTGACTGCCAATGTGCTTCCTTTTTTATAGGCTGGGAAGATTAAGGGCTGTGAACAACTGTTACAGTGGGTTGAACCTGTGAGGAACCATTTCTGGCATTGTGCAGAAACTTGTGATGGAGATGTTGAAGAGCTGAAGGTATAAGTCTTACAATTATTTGTTTTGACTGTTTGAAACTGGATTGCTCCTGGTGACATTTAAAATCAAAACAATTTTTATGATTTATTAAGGATATGTGGCTGGGAATCCTACATCATGTTTGTGGAGAACATGAGTGGGATGGCGGGATGTGTTCCCATGGACCACTCACAGAAATAGAAGGTGGAAAAGAATACCTCCCTATGACTTCCAAGGCTGCCAAGGAACTCCGAAAGATTGTTTTAGACCGGGAGTGGCTGAAAAGTCTAGAGCATTATGTCAGGTTCAGGTATGTATTTTTTAGGATCTCTGGTTTTAATCACTCTTTCTTGAAACTCTATCAGTTGTGTCCTCAACCAGCTACAATGTTTATAACAACTTACACTTTATTTGGACTGAGGCAATAAAAATTAATTTTTTACCCATTTTCCTGTTGCCCTTAACTTTTTCTTCCTAGAGGTTTTTTGGTTACTGGAGAGGTGCATAACAAAGGCCAAATATGACCTCTGACCTTTTGTCAAATTTCCCTCTCTTGCTAAAATATTGTAAGCAAGTTGAAATTATTTTCAAGCTTTGAACTAGTAGGTTTTGTGGGGGCTAGATGGACAGGACTTACAGGGAATCTGGATGGTCTTTACTTAGTTAAATCATTTTTTTAGGCATACAAGCAATTTGGAAAACTTCAATTCCATGCTTCTAAAGTATGCACCAAAGAGGATTGCCTTTGCGTAAGTACATTTCACTATTAATTAGACAGTGCATGCTTTACCAGACAATATTAAATGGTGACATTTTCAGATGCTATTGCCCTCCTTAAGTATTAATAAATGGGTTGTAATATCATGTTTTAGGTATGAAGTTTTTACTGGACGGATTTTGCTCGCAGCTCTTGACCACAATTTTCATGTTTTCCGAAAGACACTGGAAGGCCGGTTTAAGAAAATTTATTCTAAAAGATCAGGTAACTGGCGGGTGGAACCAGTGAAGGAGTCAAAGCAATATCCTCACATGTCTCTGCTCCAGGCAGACATCTTAAGACGCCGCAGTGAAGACACAGAAGCTGTTACCAGACACATTGAAGTTTCCCCTGCAAATCCTGTCCATCTGGCTCCAACAATAGCCATGAAAAGGGCCCCTTCGACTGAGGAGCTGGTCAAAGCCAAATTATCACGATTTCAAATGGAAAAGAAATCACAATAGGTGCCAAAGAACTCTGCATCAGTAAAAATGCAATCTTTGAAATTACTTTGAAATGGTGTGTGGAAAAAGAAACTAGATTACATGTAATCTTGAAATACTGCTTAATTCCCCTTTGTTTTACAAGGAAATGTAGGGAAATTTAGAATAAGCGGTAACAAATTTAACAAAACCCACACTACAGCTTCCTTTGTTGCACACACTCTTTTTCAGTTTTCAAACCAGTTAGAATAAATAAATAGATACATTATTTATTTATGATAATAATTATTGTTATTGTCAGTGGTTGCAAATTTACCCACATTTCTTCATCTAAAATATTGAAGGTAAACTGGTAATGTAAAGAAGCAGGTTTTTAAGGGATAATCCACAAAGAACAAAGCCTCCCATATAGAGCGCTTTTCAATTGAGTGTCGAAAACCAAAACCAAAGAAATCACAACAGCCATTCAGAGTAAAGGAAATTATCAGAGGGAGCCAATGACAACTCGAAGTAAACTCGTGTAACCGGTCTGTAGCGCGGGAAAACGCGAGTGACCAAGGGGCGATTGGTTTTAGTTTACATCTGATTGGCTGAGAGGGTGGCGCGAGTTTTCTAGACCAATCAAACAGCACAGTAAAGCAAAACCAATTCAATCCTGGATTACTTTCAACACTCAATTGAAAATTGCTCTAACTGCATACCTCTGTGATTGGAACCCCAACCTTATTGGTGGTATGTGAGAGCTCTAATCACTACTTTGTCCTTGCTTCCCATTAGGAGTCAGATTATCAGCATTGGGTTTGAATATAGTAATTTTAGATGAATATAGTTTTGAACATGAGAACCAGACATCAACTTTGGGAATTGTATCATGTTACATCATATTTAATTTGAGCATAATTAAAAGAAAGAAATGGGCTATAAATACTGTTGTGACATTTCTGGTTGTTACGATTCAACAGAAAAAATTTCTAAAGAGAAATTTAAAAGCATTTTTGTCAGTAAATAATAAACAAGTAAACATTTCTATAAAACTACATGTTGTCTTTCTTTACATAGTTTGGATTTCTCCATTTGTAGTAGTACACCTCTGTAAGGCAGACACTTGGTCCTTGAGTCACACTCCCTTTATTTGACTGACTAGAAGACAGACATAACTCATTGAGAAACAGTTATTGCTGGTCCCAAAAGTGTCCAGCTTAGAGTGTTGAATGTATAATAAACAAGAACAGTGAAGAAATAGAACATAACTGCACTTCTCTACTTATTTGTATCAATAACAATAAAGGTATTTTGCCCCATGTGAGGGAATCAGGACAGTCTGGGATTCTGGAATCCACAATGGATTCCAGCATTTGTTATTAGAACTTGGATTCTGGATTTCAATCATTAGTGGGATTGTGGATTTCTTCAGTTGTATTCTGGATGCCAAAACCCAGGATTTCTGATTCCACGATCAAAAATTTTCTGTATTCCGGAATCCGGATTGCCTTTCATGGCGCAAGATATTTCATTTTTCTAACGCTAAGAACGGCGAAAACCCATGTAATTACCGTCTGGTGCGGGATATGCTCGACGAATAACTATTACTACACAAGAAGGCAATATTTTTCGATTCCCTCGACCAAGTTTACCAAATTTCCACAATGTGTATTGCCGGTAAGCGGCCTTCCTGTAACTTTGAGTAGAGTAATCGGGTTCGTCCGCGCGGATGTCGCACCTGGCTCTTATAGCTAATTGCAGCACTTCCCGATCGAGGCAAACCGTGTTAAACATGACATAAGAAGTTACACATGTCCTCTTTTTGCAACAGACGTTTTCCTGTTCATCCGGCATTCTCCTGCAGACACCACAAGTACACCAAGTTTCAGGTATATTTTGCTCTGGTTGAGGCGATGGCGGGTCAATGTCATCGCTTCCGGTTAGCATGTTTCTAGCAAATTCAAGGCTACCGCGTCCTTGACTCAGCAGCCTAATAAGAAGCTGGTCTTTATCGTCAGAAGATAGTTTGGTCACAAACTCCTACAAAAAGAAAAGCGAAAGGCGAGGCTTAAATAGAAATATATAGAAGCTTATGTGTATAATACGGGGGATGCGCCGAGTCTGGAATAATTTGCATACATGATCCAGGTAAGTAAACTAACTTGAATAGAATTTTATAACCTCGTAAACAAACCTTTATTTCGCGCTGAGAGTCCTCTACAGCTTGCCTGTGGCGGGCAAAAGCACTCGGATTTCCGATCTCCTGACCTTCCGCGACCTGGTTTTTG